CATCCAACGTGGACGATCTGCGCGCCTTGTTCGACTGGCGGTGCCCTCGCCCTCACTTCCACCCCCTGCTTTGACCGGCAGAGAGCGCGGCCGGTCGTCGTCAGGCGGGCTACACCAGTGAGGCGGCCGCCCGGGCGGCGCTGGCCGAAAAGCGGCGCAAAGCGCGCGAGGAGGCCGAGCGTCAGGCCGAACTGGAGCGGCTGCAGCGCGAGGAGCAGGAGCGCCAGGAGCAGGAGCGCGCCCGGCAGGAGGAGGAGCGCGCCCGCCAGGAGGAGCAGGAGATGATGCGGCTCATCGAGGAGGCCAAGAAGGCGGAGCAGGAGCGGCTACAGCGCGCCATCGAGGTCAGTAGAGTGCCTAACGACCGGCACACTGAGACGGATTATATATACTGCGATGTTAAAATATGATCAGAGCTTATATTTTCGCTCATTAGGCTTATTTAAGCTCCTGGTCTTGGCACTGATGAATTCATAACTGGCGCTTCAGCCGTGAAGATCTTATTCGGTGAAGTTAGTTGCCGATCTTACCCATTCGATGATCGTTCAACCGCATTGTCCTATCCTATCCATTCGAACAATCAGTACGCGACGTAGTAAGTACTAAGTACGTGGTAAATAGCAATAAGCAGTAAGTACGGCATGTGAACCTCTCTTTCCCCACTCCCAGATGGCGGAGCAGGAGCGCCAGGAGGAGGCTCGCCGCCGCGAGCAGGAGGAGCAGCAGCGCATCCAGCGCGAGGCGGAGGAGGCGCGCGCCCGACAGGAGGCCGAGGAGGCCCGCCGGGCCGCCGCCGAAAAACTGGAGCGGGAGGAGGCCGAGCGGAAGAAGCGCCGCTCGCGCGTGGCCGAGATCATGAGCCGCACGCGTGGCGCCAGCACGCCCACAAAGGTACGGACAGGGAGAACAGCTGAGGCTCAGGGAAGGAGTATAAGGAAAGGACGATTTATCCGTCAGTGATGGGATTTCCGGTGAAAGTGGTCTTCCGCTCGTTCTTTTTATAATCGTTGTCGTTTGGTACCTACCCATGAAAAGGTGTTGCATGATCTGTTTTCATCCCTTGCGATTGCCTCTTTCACCGATATACACACTTCCTCCTCTTGAAAAAAGAACCTGCCGGTTGTTTCTGTCGTCCTAATATCCTAGTATCCTTCGGCCACCAGTCTGTCGTCACTGTATGTGTGGTTGTTATGTGGATTCTGTGATTGGTAAGACGTGAAGCGGTCTACACTCTCCGGTTTCCGGGTGTATCCGTGACCGCTCTGTGACTGCGTGTCTCTGGCTGTCTCTCTGACCGCCTGGCTCTCCCCGTATCTCCGGGTATCTCCATGACCGTCCCGCGTCTCTCTGACCGTCTCTGGGTACATATCTCCGTGATTGGTCCCCATGTTTCCGGGTATCTGCATGACTGACCCCATCTATGCGTGTCGCCCTGACCGTACCCGCTCCGGCAGGCTGAAGAGGCCGCAGGGCTGACCCAGGTAGGTCCCTCCGTGGTCGAACTGAACACCTGGGAGGGTCACGGAAGGTCGCTAACTCGTGGGGCATGTGTGCGCGTCTGCGGTGGTCTTTGGTCACGGTAGAGGCTTGGAGGTTGTACCCTGCAGTTCAGTTGGCGAGGTCTAGCTTCAGTCGGTGGCTATTTTGTTTGTCCTGGGCTTCATTCTTTGGCTTTTGGAAGTATGTTGGCAACGGTAAGCTTCCAACTCTGTTTTACAATGGTTTAAATGCTTTGGACATCATATGCTTCCATCTCCGTTTCTTTTTTTCTTTTTGTTTAAAACAAAGGCCGAAACGTATTATTGAAATGCTAGTAAGGACTGCTATCGTGTTTTAAACACAAAACTCGTTTGGTCCCAGTCAATAAGGTTTAGTGTCTCCTGTTCGACGGTTTTCTATTTCGAAAAGTGTTCGCGTGTATTCGTCTAACTATTAGACAAATGCGGCTTGCATCAGTTTCATGATTTCTAAACGGCATTTGCTAGCTCTTCGAGGTTTACTTCCATAGTTGCCGGCAGTACTGCACACCTCAACTGGAACCGGTCTGCATGCTTGTTGTGTAGGTACTGGATAATGTCCCGGACACTATCACATCCTCCTGTGATTTTAGATGACTGGAGGCCGGTTGCACTTGGCGTCACAAACTCCACATCGGACATCGCACCAACCTAACCTTAGCGTTGTAACAGGTCTATTTAACTCGGTGTAGACTAGGTTGTCATACGATTGTTAGTGGAGGCGTATGCTGTTTGTTTTATGGCTTGGTATTCATCTGGTATTTCATTTACGGCATGTTTTGGGCGATGAATAGCTAGTTATTTCCCCGGGAAAACACTCACATCCAGGACCGAAGTATGGAAACTAATGCGCCAATTAAGCACTTACCGAGGTGTCAGCTGCAGTTGGCAGTCACATTTGCGGGTGCTCACTCCAATCTTCGGTATTTTGTCATGTGTTGTCTCGTATTTCGTGAACGGTGCTGGCTTCTGCTGGTGTTTGGTTATGTCATGCTTTGGTTATGGTTATGTCATGTATTTTGTGATGAACTTTCAAAATTTCAAACATCAGAATATTTGTGTTAACGTTTTGAGCTTGAACTATATTTTACCCCGTAGCGTTTAATTTCAGTTGGGAGTTCATTCACCCAGTGATCTTTTAGTCCTATATCCCTCAGCGGTCTTACTGGCCCTCCCTCCGCAGACCACCTCTGTGACGGACCTGAAGGCGATGAACTCGCCAGCCTCGGCGCCGGCCGACCGCACCGTCTCGGTGATGGACCTGAACGCCATGAACGCCGCGCAGAGCGCGCAGCCGCCGCCGGCCGACCTGTCGGCGTCCGTCTCCGACCTGAGCGTCATCAGCGGCGACGCGCCGGCCGCCGCCCCCGCCCCCGCGCCGGCGCCGGCGGCCGACCAGCCGGAGCCCATGTCGACCGACTCCAGTCCTCTACCGGCCAGTCCGGTGCACTCGAACGGAGCGGGCACGACCAACGGCCAGGCGCCGGCGGTGGAGCCGGCCGGACGCGCCGACAGCGGCGTCACCAGCGGAGAGTTCGGGTCAGTGGCCGAGAGAGGAGAGATGTGATAGAGAGGGACTTTAACGGGCGTCGGGCTCCAGCCGAGGGGGACTGAGTGCTGGAACTTCTCGACGGGGTGCTGATGAGAAGCAGCGATGGGTGGAATACTGGCAATGGAACAGATTTGAGGTGGATGGGACACTTAAGCTGAACAGGGAGAAAACAGAGATTTGATGGAGCCTAGAGTGATTATCTGAGCCAAGAGAGACAGGGCGGTGTGCAGCTGAAATGGGACACTATCTGAGAGGGACAACACACGGGTGGACGAGTATCCGTTACCGAGGTGATGGCTCTGGGATGCCCAGACGTACCCTACTTGTGTTTTTGGACGATTTAGTCATGTCGTTGGAGTTTGGCGGCTCCTCTCACGAAGGTCGCGTAACGATGTCCGGTTTTCGTTCCTCTATCGTGACTAACCTACCTCGGTTCCCCGGTCTCCAGGTCCAGTCTGTCGTCACTGGACCCGCTCAGCCTCAAGTCGACGTCGACCGTCAGCAACGACAGCGACTCGTTGAACTCGAACGTGTCCGAGTCGACGCCGACGCCTTCGCTGACGTCGGTACCGGCGGCGGCGACGGAGGCCGAGCCGTGCCGGCCAGCACCGCAGATCGCCGGTCAGTGAGCGCGCATGTGGGAAATGGGGAATGTCAGAGGGACAGGTGGATGGGGGGCTCTTGGGAGCGGTGACTACGCACCGTCTGGAACCGAATATCTGAACTCTGTCTTCCCGTCTCCCCAAGCCAGGCGACGGACGAACTAGCTCGCGGGAGTAATCAGATTAGGATATTTTTTTTTGCAAAGAATTGAAGCCAGGCTGTCTTTATAATGTTATGTCCCTAGCTGTTGGGGATCTTCCACGCCGAACCCGTTGTCCATGCGGCGTTTGAACTTACATGTCCCTGTCTGGTACCGTCCTCTATTCCGGCATTTGACGTTGTCCCCTATCTTTGTGTCTGCTTTACATGGCCCCTATCCCTATCCGTGTCCGATACCCTCCCTGTCCCTTTGTCCGGGACGCAGTCTTCTGTTCCTTTCTGAATACGTGTCTGACTTCCCCTGCCATTGCCTGATTTCCTGTGTCTGACGCGTCCTCCCCACCGCCGTGTGTTTCAGATCTGCTCCAGATGTAGACGGTGCGAATGTGTCTGTGTGCTCTGGGAGGACGATGTGAGCGGCTGTGCGCCCGTGTCTGTGTGTATGTGCGTGCGTGTGTGTCAGAGACAAGTGTTACGCTGTGACCGGTCGGCGAGCCGGCCGGGGCAATAGTGATATCGGCGGGCGGATCGACCCGCGCCGCCCGACCGGACAGACCGTGCGCGCCGCCCCGGTGTGCCCGGGGTACTAATACGAGTATGTGAGCCGACAGCCGGTCTTGGACGCCCGTTTTAGCTGTATCACACACTAAGAGCGCGCTCGCTCGCGCCTGTATACACTCTGTATTAGCCTGCCAGCGGCGGGGTGTTACCCGTTCCTAACACTCGCCGCGCTGCTGCTGTTGGAAGTATTCCTTAACACGTTTTCGGGGAGCGGTGCGGCCGTGGGCCGCTGGTTGACGTTTGCCGCAGACTGCGGCCGAGAGGGGGTCGCCCTTTGTGGGGCGGCCGCGCCAGCTGGAGGGGCTGCCGTGCACCCGCCGGCGACGGCGGGGGAGTTGTTCGGCAGTTCAGTCATATTCCCCGCGAGAAGAGTTTATTTTGCGGCGTTCGACTGTAAAATAAACGCCGCAGCGATGTAATCTATTTCGGCGTGTTCGTGTTGGTGCGTCGCGCCGCCCGCTCGGTCCGCCGTGCCGGGCGGCGCAGGGCGAATGGACGGGTGCTGAAATATAAACTCGATACTATGCGTCCGAGTCGATACTTTGGCGGTAGCCACACCAGTGCCGTGACGTCCGGAGATGCTGGTCTTGGGTGGGATGACATGCGGGTGATAAAACACTTGATTGCTGTATTGAAGGAATCCATACCTCATCACAGGCAAACGTCAAAATACGATAATGCACTCGCGATATTGACTAGCTTCTAAAGCATTTGATATGATGTTGGCTTATACCTGACTAGCTCGTTCGTAGTCCTGAGCTCTATTATTACGACACGAACTAAAGACACGAACGATAACACCCAGTGCACACGCAAGCCAGAAAATATCTCTAAAACACCACACTATCACAAACCCATCCAGTCTCCAAACGACTCCAAGCAGAAGTGCGGTAGTCTGCTGATGATACAATGCAAGATTTACAGACGAAAAAATAAAACGAGTCTCGCAACACACATGACGCCTGGGACAGGCGCTCGCTCCTCCATCCAATGGTCCCTCCCTAGTGACGATTCATTGGTCGCAGAATTCCGTGGGGTCTTAGACTTGGTGAGCCGTGATCACGGTCGCTGTCCCACCGACCGCCGCTCCTCAGCAAGACACCCGCTCAGCCCGGACCAGGCGCTCCGCCCAGTCTCAGCAGACACCCGCTCAGCAGCAGGAGCCCCGTCGGCGGCAGGCGGAGCTCGGCAGCTCCCGTGGAGGCAGCAGGAGTCACGTTCACCTCTTCCGCTCGGGAGATGAACCGGTACCGGGCCTCGAACCCCGTGGCCTCGAACTGGCCGTTCGAGTGGAACGTCAGTCTGTGGAAGAAGTACCCGAGTCAGTGGTTGGCAGATTCAGCTTTCGTCCGAAGAGCTGTCATCTCTCCTGAGATGCCAGGGAATGCCGGATTCCGACTGAACCCACCACAGGGCTTCAGCAGTGTCGGTGTGGGTGTTCAGTGTTGAGGGGCGGAAGCAACCACTTCTATCTCGTAACGCGAGGGGCTACAAACGGTAAAACACCCGGGTATCTGCAGACAAGGGCACGACACTTGTGACGAAATCTGTGCAGGAAATCACATTCTGGAGCCTCGGAACTCGACGGCAGAACGCAACGGGGTCTACAAACAGCGGCACCTGGACTACACACAACGGTACGCACTGTTATCAGCGGTGTAAATGCTTGGCGGTCAGTATTATCCGTCCATCGCTCAGCGTTGCTCACCTGAGGCGGCCGGTGTCAGTGATGAGCGGGTTGGGTGGCGCCGTGTCCCCACAGTACCGCTCCGGCGGCCCGTGCCCAGTGCCGTGGTAATCCAGACCGTCCAAGTTGGCCCGATAGTTGGACTCAACCTCCAGATAGTCAGAGGAAGAGCCCAGCCGGCACCTAGAGAACATGGAATACAGATGGGTTTAATGATAGGCCGCCTGACATTGTTGGACGGGCCAGTTTACACATGAAACTTAGTAAATGATGTAGCGTGTGAATCTCAAACCTCATATTCCCGAAGGAGTCGTAATTACGTACAAATGCTGTCCACTAACCATGCGCACCAGTCCACAACTAATGAAAGAGACTCGTATAGGAGTCCACGTAGTGTGCACTGGAAACTCACGGGTAGATGCCCTCCACATCGAAGTAGCCGAACTGCACCAGAACGGTCTCGTTGGCGCCTCCGATGAAGTAAAAGTGGCAGTCCGTGTTACCGGGGTAGTAGCCTGGCGCGTTTGGCGTCCGAAAGGTTCCCTCCCTCAGCACGCTGCTCCGGAACTCGAAGGCACAAGAGCTGGTCGGCAGCTGGACGCCGGTTGTTAGCCCGTAATCTGAAACCAAACGCTAGAAGTAACCAGTAGCTTATGTCGTCAGAAGATAACGCTGTATTTTGTATTTAATAACCAAGTGGTTAAAATACAGCATTTCTCGATGTTTTGCTGGTGGGTGGACGCGGTAATCTATGTGCTAAAAACAGGCAGACACCCTCCACCGGAGCAGCTCCCGCACCTCTGACAAACCGGTAGGTGGCTCTGAAGCCGGTCGGCCCCGCGCCGGTGGCGCCGCCCGTGGCGAACAGCAGAAGCAGCCGGTGGTCGGGGGACATGACTCGGGCTGGCTGGCCGGAGCCGCAGAGCCGGCGGAGCAGCCGGAGTCGGCCGGCCGACAGACCGAGAACAGTCACCGAGTCGGCACCGCGACACCTGGGGGTGGGCGAGGGCGGTAGAGGGTCAGGGCAGGCGAAACGCTGCGCCATCAGTCAAATTAGTCATGCCTGCAAACATCCGACAAATAGATGTTAGCCTGAAGAGCTAAGGAGCCACCGTAGGCTCACAATAGAAACATGCTTATCAGCATTTATGCCGCCGTCGTGGGCAAGGCCATGTAAGTGCCTCGTGTCATTATTTACGAGTCAATCTTCCTATCCCGGACGTATATCGATGACGTATTGAACTTAGGCTGCAGGGAGCGTCAGCGTACCCTTTTATATGTGAAAACAATGCGCAAAACAGTTTCTTTGAGGGCTATAGGTAGATGACTTACGTTTTGAGCGTTGTGTTTTTCCTCAGGTCGAAGTGCTCGAAATGAAGGATAACTCTATCGTTACCGTTTCCCTGGAATTCATACCTGGAAGAAGAACACGTTGTTTGCTTATTTGCGCTGCATACTGATCACTATTCACTGCAACCACCGGTTGTTGCAACATGGGGGCTTATCTCCCATGGTTTTGACCAAGTGACCTGGGACTGGCCTTCAATTGTATGGGCTGGCATCTGCGCAATCCGGTTCCGCAAAACTGGTTTTCCACGACCGCAATCCGAAAATGGACGTAGTTAGGTGGTCGGAGGCTGCACTGGTCATCGTTAGACACGAAAACATTTAAAAACATGTTTTGTCGCAAACTTCAGCGAAGTCTCAATGACTTGGGAATCGAAGAATCAAATGGGATGGAAGATGTGGCCAATGGTCATCACTACCCAAGTTACGTTGTTTGATATAATTACTATAAGTTATAATATTGTTTCGCGACTGCTCTACAGTCGACGGTCAAACCGATCTCGGGCCCCTGAGGCCTCCCGTTCACGCGGCGGCCCGGAGCGCCTCCTTCCGACGGTCCGGGCCCCTCCTCGGCGGACCGGCCCCTCCTAGCTCCTTCCCGGCGGCCCCCGGCGCCAGTGCGATGTCCACCTGCAGAGGATGTTAGCCGGGTAGGTCAGCGGGTGGCCGGGACTGGACACCTCGCCGGACCTCTTGTCTCCAGACAGCACCGTCTGGTGGCAGCTGAGCTCTGCGGCAGTCAGAGAACAAGGTCACACGGTGCCGGCCGATCACCGCGGTCAGCACACGGCGACACTCGGACATAAAACGTCATTAAAAAGCGCCCAGCGGCGTTTGAACCGGCTATTTATTGTGAGAAACCTCTTCAAATCACCGAGGATGTGGGGCAAGTGGGAGCAGTCACTGAAGTGTTCTTCGATTAAATGCAACTACGCAACTCGTAGAACGCCGACCTTAATTATCCCTTGATGACTGATCGCTACAAAACTGAAGTGATGGTTTGCAGGCTAATGGGATTCTAAGCTTGTCGCCGGTGAGCCTCTGCATATCCGGCCACTGGTATTACAACCAATGACCTGTGGTGAACAAGCAAACAGCCCCAGGCAGGGTGTGCGCCCTGCGCCTCGGAAGTAATCCACGCACGTGACGCTGCAGATTTGGTCTCTGGTCAGCCTCTCAGCATGTGGGCATTGCGTGCTCTGTGCAATGCGCACAGTTCATACCGCTTATTCAAATAGGCCCGCGCAGAAAACGTACTGTGACACTTGGCTGTTACTTCAGTCGAGCGAGGCGGATTCGGGCGCGGTGATAGCAGCGATGCATGAGGGACTATCCTCTGTGTGACTAGGGCTATGTGCTGAGTTGGAGGTAAACGTATGTAATAGCTCGCTGAGAAGCGAAAGGCCACAATAGGGGCATGTAGAAAATTAGTGGGTCTGCCGAGGGCGAGGACCTCCCGAGTAGTAACACGAGTCATGCTGAAAGATGGAAGCAGTTAGTGTGTGGAGTCGCCCGTTCACGGGCTCAATACAAAACTGCACCGTCATGCTGGCTCATCAGATTTGACCACGTTCAAACGGCCAGCCGATCCACTTGACGGCGTTCCGTGCCGTGGCTTAGCTTTCGAATACCAGATGTCAGAACAGTGGGAGGCAATAGGCATTTGTGTTAAACTGTCGGTATGCTGGCCGGTGAGGCTTTAAATAAATTAATTATAATTACGTATGTTGATATACAAGCAAATAATCGCAGTTAGATCACGTGATGAGAAGCTGCACACGAAATCACCTGACGAGAGATTATGATCAGTCTTCAAAATGATGGTTCTGAGGTCACGGTCAGGATTAGGTTAGCTGCTCAAAATCGGCATATCGAGAAAAAATAAAATTATCGGGATTCCCTAAGATGCACCGTTTTGGAGTAAAGTATTGGCACCGTTCAACGCCAGCAAGTATGGAGTTGAATGCCTACATACCTATATGTATGTGCTCACCGCAGCGCGTTTCCGACGGGAGATACACCGATGTTCTGTTGATGGTGTCCCCTGGAAACGATCGACAATGTGTTACGGAAATGTGTTGACGAAGAACTTAATTGTAAATAAAAACTTTTTTTATGAGAAAGACTACAGAGAAGCTCTGAACAATGGTATGCTTCAAAGGCCCATGATCGAAATACATTTAAAGGTACACTGAACAAATATACCTACGAGTCAATGCGGTGTTTAAGCTTATTCTTATTGCGTTTCACGCTTACATTTTTCCTGAATGCATCGATGGATAGGTACATACCAATTATCATTCCCATGACGTCCAAGTCTTCCAAATACTTGTGAAAGTTTGATGCTTGTTGGGAAAACCGAGGGGAATGCGAGCATTGTCAGTTTAACCAGTCTCTCGGATTTACGAAGGTGGCTTTACGAAACACATGGCACCGGCGTGACAGTCGTTAAAACGTTCAATTAAGAGCAAATTAGCGATATTTCAAGAATTTTCAATACAAACTTTAGGTACTAAAGCCATCCAACCAAAACAAATGCACATTCGGCCAGTCAGCGTGTTTAGGATCTAATAAAGGCATATAATTTGTTTGAGACATACGTCCGATTTCCTTACGTATCAGGTCCGACGGCAGGTCCCGTCGTCCCGGGTCCTCCTCAAACCGGTACTCCAGCTGGAACCCGGCAACCGGACGTCGCACGTGACCGCCGCCACCGTCCGGTGGTGCGGTCACGTGACTGGTCACGTGCAGGTACGGTCCCGAGGAGGTGACCTGTACGACACGACCCGAGCGGCAGATTTCGGCGATCACCTGGGCCCGGTCGGTGGTCCCGTCGTGTACGACCAGACGGTCTCCTGAGGCGCAGCTGACCGCCGGGAACGGGGTGGGAAGGTCAGATAATGAGCAGTCCCGCTCCCGACTGCTCTAAATAATAAAACTGGGAGACCTAGGTATAAACAGCTGAGTACGGAAAATATGTAGGGTAACCCAGTTGTATGGTCGCCAAAATACACGTTATCAAAGGTAGCGCGTCGTCAAACGCCCCATGGAGTGCCGTCGGAACAAAAGTGCGTCCCAGCCCTCAGTGCCTGACCTGCTGTCCTGACCAGGGGACTGACCTGCTGTCCCCGAAGACTGACCTGCTGTCCCCGAAGACTGGCCCGACGTGCTGCTACCCCGGCGACTGACCTGCTATCGGCCGGCTGCAGCGCCACCCGTACTGCCGTGAGCGTCACTCGCTGTTGCCGGGAGCCGTACAGAGTGTAGGAGCAGTTCTGGTGTGGAGAGAGCGCCGGGAAACCCTCGGAGAAGATGGAGCCCGACTGGCGGTCCTCGCTGAGTAAGAGCAGGTGACAGCCGTCCCCGGACAGGCTCTGACCCCGGGTCACAAACTGATCTGTCCGCAGCGGCAGTCAGTTTGGTAGACATGCACGCCTACTGCCTCTCCATCACAGTCTGCTAATGGAAGTGGTAAAATGGAGTGGATAATTTGAAGTAGGTATACCTACTTACCGCTCTCGCGAGTTTAAGCGGTAGGTTTTGCCTTTTTGCATTTCCGGCTGTACCTATGTAGGTATCTCAGAAACTAATCGATATAAGATGAAGCCATTTTAGAGCATCATGGCAGGCATGTGTACGAATAAATCGATCGCATCTTCAACCCTTAAAAGCTTGAGCGAAGACGATATAGCCGGAAATTTACTAAATTTCATAAGGGGCAAACCCTACTGCTAAAACCCGCGAGACCTGACCACGCCTGCCGGTCTGTGTAAGTTCATTAGGTGCGTGCTATTCATTTGTTACCTAAGCTATCGAGAATTCGGAAACGGGCATGCAATAAGAGCGTAATTAAATTATTTATTAGAAAGCCCCGCAATAAAGAGAGGTAGGTAACAGGAGCGATAAAATTGGATAAACGGGCACATAGGTAGGGATTGGAAATTATCAGGAAAATGTTAGCAAAAAGGACACGAAAAAAAGAACGGTGGTGTTAGGCGCACCTAACATTCTTATTGATAGGCGCACCAAAACAAATATAGCCATTCCTCACCACGGTCAACAAACTTGAACTCGGCGGAAAATCCGCGGTGTTTCTCTGGGTTTCTCTCGGAGACAAACTCCAGCGCCAGGCGGCGAGAGGCGCTGAACCACGAGCGGCCAGCGCTGCTGTTGTGGCACACAGTGACGTCACCGGACCGACGGTATGACGTCACTGGTGGAAAATGGCCGCCGCCATCGGGCCAGTGGAGGAACAGCGAGAGACAGCCCATTGACCCGGGCCTGGCAGAGAAACGGACGAAACAACTCGTCACCATGAGAAACTTGGAGTTATATAAGGCGCTATAGGGACGGAATAGCAGGAGGAAGAGGTCACTGCCGCTTTTTTAATACGGAAAATAATAACTACCCTACCTCCTGTTAAGCTGCTTTCACAAATCACACCTTTTAAATATCCAGAGTCGGCTTTTTAAGTCGTTTGTAATCAAAATGAAAATCTTATTTTGAGTGGATAGTAACGTTCGTGGATGGATATGAGCTATATTAACACGTTGTTGTGACAACAGATTAATATTTGTACAAAATTTGTATCTAATGTTAAATTACGCAATTTAAATTTCAAATTCAGACTGATAGCCATTAGCCATGTTATTGCTGATCTACACCCACGTACGTACTGACAGCAAAACTACATCAAACAACATAAGACGTTTCCACTCTCCCACATGGCACCCCGAAACGACTTCTGCGGAAAAGGAATAAATACAGCGAGATAGAAACGCAATAAGATCACAGAATGTGACAGAGGCCCCGCGGTTTGTGCGGTCACCGTACCCGGACTGTGACGGCTCCAGGTCCAGATCTGTGACGGTCAGCTTCACAAGGTGGTTCGGCGGTGCCACCAGCACATGCCGTTCGCACAGAGCGCGGTCCGGGAACGGCACTGGGTAGCCGCGACTAGAGACCTGATCCCGGCCCTCCGGCACTGAGGAACCGTTCACCACCGCCAGCGTGCAGCCTGGAACGTAGCACATCGAACGTAATGTCATTATGGTCCGAACGTAGCACTCGTGCCGAGAAGTAGGCGTTCTAATACCCCTCTTTCACTCAGTTCCTGGGTTATGTAACGCCAAGACGCGTCACAAGCAGTAAGCGACGTTCGGTAGGTCGTCAAAAATAAAAAGTACATTGATAATTTCTAAGTTTACGTTAAATATTGATGAGCAAAGTTCATCGAAGGGCAGACTTTTCCATTTTCTAGCGTTTTTACGTTTGCATTTTTCATTTTTAACGTTTACGTTTTTGTTCTTCCCCACGGAAAAATAAAACCTGGTGACCTTGAATGGCCGAGCCCGAGGTGCGGTATTTTCAGCATGAGCAGAAAATGACGTGCCCTGAGCTAAACGTCCAGCGACTCGACGTCGTTGACAAGCTACTGGGCACTGAGTTTCCTTCGCCTTTCGCTTTCTTTTTATTTTTATTTTGTAGGATGGGGCTCTTTCGGTCCATCAAGACCCTTCCAGAGCCGAAAGGATTATGATGATGGGGGAGGAAAGACAGGGTGGGTGGCCATCCTGGTGCGCCACCGAGGCTGAGCTTGTCTCAATGGAAAGGCAGCCAAGCCCCACTAAAGGTCACTCCTCTGTTCCTGAGGAGCTACCCACCAAGGATCAAGGTGACCGTTCAGTCCGGATTAGGGGTTAGAGGCGCGGCGGAGAAGGATTTGATTGTCCAGAGGGTGGAAAAGACGGAACGGTGTTCGGTTTTCGCTGCGAGAATTCATATATCTCGCCCGAGACGGATGTGCTCCCATCAAACGGCCCGATGTTCAAATAGGCTAACAGTTTTTCACGGTTACGACCGCACTGACCTTCAAATGGCCCCCTCCCCGTCACCAACAAAAACATCAGATCAATAAACCAGCACCGACCAATGGGAACAGAGCACCTTCAGTGTTCTAGAGCGTCCTTCAGTTTCTTTCAGTGACAAAGGCGCGAGAACATAAGTTCAGGCTTACGTGACGGAGCGACCAATAATAATTCCAATCAACGTTATTGTAAAGGTCAGTGCATCACATCAAGAGGCCGCATGCTGGACTATGGAGATAGCATGCAGCCTTAACCATCGATCCTGAGTCATCACAGTGGATATGTTACCCCATTGGCTGGCAGCCCAGCTGTCCGGCAGGGAAAACATCAGCGTCGCCTGCGCGTCCACGAAGCACATCCAGACCAGCACCTGCAAAAGGTACCATATATAAAGTTAACACATGTACAAACGGTGATCAGTGACGCCCACTTTCCACTGTTACACGCAATCATTTCACAGGCGTTCTTTTTTCTACGGTTGAATGAATGAAGGGGATAGCCATTTTTGATATAGATCGCCACTACAATTAAAATTGTGTTTACTGTTAAAGTAGTTGCTTTGAGACAATAGGAATAAAAGTATGTAAGGACAAACGACATTTCAGAAGTGGATGAAGGTTACTGCAATGACAACCAAGACTGTTACATACCTACCATCGATTCACTATCCTAGGATATTAGCTGATGTGAGCTTCCTTGTGCTAAAAATAGGCACCGTTCTTCTTGAGACATCTGCAGGGTTCGTGTGGGCCGAATCTGCATACATCCTGTATGGCAGCGACATCTCGACGGACCATCACGCAGGTCACATGTGTAGCATACCCAATTGGAGCGCGCTATCGCTTCAATTATATAGGCATGCACATATTCCGGTGGGCTATTTCTGAAAGCCTTTGGTGCAGGCCGAGGTAATGTGCACAGTGCACTTGTGGAGGTCATGCAGTTCGTGATTCCGTGCCGGCAGCATCAGTCAGAATGCGGTGCACATATGGTTGCTCGATGTCCAAGGTCTCTGTCAGACGAATATGCACGTAAGGCACGAGTCCACGACCAACGTCATAGAGGAATAGCCGGTTGCTAATTATGTAAGGACATATATGTGTGTTGAGAGGTTATCGGTAGAGCCAACAAATAACTAAGTAAAAGTATTTTCATTTAGTTATTTGTTGGCTCCACCGATAGCCTCATAACAGTAAAGGACAGCCGATGTAGCTGCACTTCCCAGTCGTCCGGTGGCCGGCTGAACAATGAGCAGTAGGTATGTACGGTACAGATCGGTCCAACGTGCAACGGTCCAACACATACGAACAGCTGTTTATCGACTGACCACGTATGTAACAAGGGTTGAAGGCTTTAGGTGATTATCGATCTGCCGGCTACGTTCACAGCAACGGTGCAACAGCTACATAGGTATGGTGACTATGATTGATCGACCGACCACTCTGCGCGCCCCTTCTATGCAGAAGTAGAATAATCACGGTAAGGCCATCATTTTTACAGTCCGTGCCATCTCGTACTTCTAAGGTCAAGCTGCAAAACATTTCGCAACACATGCCTCAAAGGCATGAACTGCAATCTGATTGTGAGCTTTGACTTTAGACGGAGCCTGTTCATTCGTTCCGCTCGTGCCCGGGCGGCTGAAGCCCACTGAGGCCGGGACTGGTCTACGGTTGTGTGTGCTCCACCGTTTCACCCGTATAGCGAGGCCTCCGGTCGAGTTGACTACAGCGTCTGCTGGAGGCTGCCGCGGTCCCACCTGCCGCAGTTGTGAGCCGGCAGCCGCGCGGGTCTCACCGCGTCAGCAGCGCAGCGCGTGATCGGGAGCGGACCGAGGGACACTGTGGCCTAACTGTGGCAGAGGCTGGCATACTGCGCACTGTGGCAGCAACAGAAACACTGTGACTGAGCTGTGACGGCAGGTGTGGGACACTGCGATAGCCGTGGCTGCGATCAGAATGCTGTGACAAAGCTGTGGCAGCGACAGGATGACTGTGACGAAACTGTGACAGCGCCAGGCATCCTGTGAACTGTGGCTGCGACCGGGAGACTGTGAACTGTGGCTACGACAGGCGTACCGTGACTGACTTGCGGTGGTAGGAGACGGTTCTTTGTCGACAAACGTCAAACCCATTCTGACACGGTAAGTGGTGCTTGCGGTCGGTGAAACGGCACATTTCGGAGAGATGGGATTGGAATTGGTTGGTTGGTCCGTAATGGCTTGTAGCTTGTTGACCTAGATGAGTTGCGTATAAATCACCAGAATGAGATAAGGAATTAACTGTGTGTTCCCAGTTTACGTGTTTCATGTTTGTGCAACGTGCTTAATGCATATATTGTACATTTATAGGATTAAGAATACATAAAAAGCCATGTTACAAAATGCTTGTGGCATGTCAATCTGGTTTCCGACCTAAGCGGCAAGGCAGTATTCCGAGGCATAAAAAGTATTATCTTAATATTAGGAAAGAGCACGGTACCCAGTGACCATATGACATATACACTTGTATGACGTGTAGGTGCAATACCATATGACATGATGTTAGCTGTTATTATGCTGTTATATATTCATGCTCTTTTTGTTCGGATTCTACCAGTGGAATCCCTTATCTAAATGTAATCACTTGAAAGTTGAATGTCTTAGACATATATACGTTTAAAGACAAGGTTCTGATAAAGACGAGGCAACCCTTGCTAGGTTACGTAACCAGCATATGAAAGCCAGCGGGTCGGCTAAGGGGTCCAATATCACATCGAAACGAAACAGTTTTGTTGCGTTTTGCGATTAACATCCATATTTTTTGGGGTCACGCCGGTGGAAGACCCTGCATTTGCAAATGTATTTTCATTGTTGTTGTTGTTGCGACGTTGAGCTAATATTGCGATGGCGCTTGGTTTTTACTTAACCCTCGCCCATGTAGGGGGGGGGGTTGGTGCAACCCCCCCCCCCCTGAGGTTTTTCTTAGCTACACGCCGAACCGTTTCAGATAGCCTGCTCAAATTTTCAGTACCCTTTGGGGCAACCTTTGCGCAACTTTTGGTAATTTTTTTGTCAAGGTCATGTCAGGTCACGGAGTTATGACGTCATAAAGGGAACAACCTCCGGCCAGATTTACGCTAAATTGGAGATTGCTTCACATTGGTATAAATGCCGACTGACCTGACGCACTGATGGATTGTTTTAGAATCACAACTGGCTGATTTGACATTGGCACAATGTCCGTTGACATTTTGAAGGTCACTAAAGGTCAAGGTAAGGTCAGTGACCTCGGTTGACCTGTAATGACTTCTTGCACTTGTATGCCTTTTCGGGGTATTTTGATGCCCTGAATTCGAATTTGCTATCCATTTCAGGCATCGTGGGTTGTTTCTTGAAGTTCATTTTGGGTCAGGGTCAGGTCAGTGACGTCACACGCCTGACGTGACCCAATGCACAAATGACCTTGCAGACTTCCGATGCTCCCAACGCATCATTTTTAGAGTTATGACATCGAAATAAACACCAAACGATAGAGAATTGATCACGGATCACGATAGTGAAGGTTTCAAGTCGATATCTCTTACCGTTTTGCCGCAATCGGCGCGGAAATCTGAAAAAGTTAGATTTTTCCGAAAATTTGACCTTTGACCGGTCATAAGTAGGTCAAATGTTGACCTAGGACCACAAAATAACAAAATATACCACCAATCGCGAGATCTCGTTGAGAGCAATCCGTTGGTCTTTTCCGCTAAGCTCTACGACGCTTCGTTTTCAAACGCCAGGGGGGGGGGTCGCACCAACCCCCCCCCTGCATGGGCGAAGGTGGCAAAACACCGTTTACGGGCGAGGGTTAAGATGGCCTTCAGCGGTCTACCTCGGCCAACAGAAGCAGACATGCACTGCAGGGTTCCGGAACTTAAGTCGTTTCGCAACTAGGTCAGACACCATGGAGGAGTTTCTGCCCAATGCCCATCCCTTCCCACCGAGCCTCTCCAGCAAAAGAGTGTAGTGCGCAGGTGTAGTGCGCTGAGGCGCGGCTCTTTACACCACCCATGACGCTCAATGTATGCCGAACGACACCACACATAGTCGTAAAGCCGTCCTAAAATCTGTTAGCGGTAAATGTTATCCATCAACCATGACGCAGACGTTTCTAAGGACGATTTAATTTAGGCGCCTTTCTTGCATGATTAATTTTTATTTGCACTTCGGTGACTTTAATTGACTGTGAAGAACAATGTTATATTCACTCTTTAATACAGGCATGGCTTAGTTATTTAAGCTGAGTTATTTAACATATACGTCATGGCAATGAAAAAAGATTTGGGGTGACACGGACCACTGTGTTTTATCTTGTGGTCCATTGTATCCAGCAGATAAAAAAATTGTGCAATAACATTGACAAAAATTTGGGTAAGCTATTTTTACAGGAAGGAATCTCTATTGCAGGTGAGCCATGCTTATAAGTGCTCAGCTAACATGCATTTAGTGCTAAGTTAGCATGCATTTATGCCAAACGACAGTCAACACACAACTTCCTAGCTTTTAGTTGCTGTTACACTTCCACAACATGGGGAGTAAAGAATGAAGGTTTTTTACCTTTACTTATTAGAGTACACAGAGCAGAAGTGTAACAAACATAAATGGATGCAGACACTGATGGGTGATCGGTCTTACACCGCCTTTTTTCTTGTCGGCGATTTTGAATTGTCTCCTTTGCAACCATAGCAATCACGGCCTAGATTTCTTGAATTTAATATCCATCCTTTGCTCTATCAAAAGAGGGAGGAATCAGCATTTAAGGCTGATTGAGGTTCAATATGAGGTTCGGGAGCAGTGTAGCCAGATATGCGACATCAAGCCTCAGCTGGTCCGTCTTACCCCACCTTCCCTATCATGAGGAAAATTATCGGTGCGTCCGTAATTACAGTTCAGCCATCGGTAAGCTGCACACGGTACCCCTCATCAGAAACCATTCAGGTTTATCATAAATTGGAAGGCGATATTAACCCGCGCCCCAGTGGCGGTCTCAGCCAACTTCGCCCTAGTGGGGGGGGGGGGGGCATATATGTTACCACCCACCTCTAACTCAAAAACTAAGAGGGCTAGAAAGACGCGGTAAAAAGCAGTCGATAGCTCTCAATGCCTACGTTTGAAAGTATTTCGGTCATTTTTCATCTTAGAGCAATATTGGGGTCACTGGAGGTCATCAAAGGTCATTATTTGCCAAATGTCATTATATTTTTCAGAAAACATGCATTTATCTCAGGAACTATGATAGCTAGAAAAAAGCATGGAAAAGCAATCGATAGCTCTTGAACTCTTCTTTTGATAAGGTTATCATCAAAATTAACCTCAGGTCAACGGTTTAGCCTCCAGAGGGCAAAAACTCCAAAAATAGCTGTTTTTACGAAAAGTGTTTTTCGACAATAACTTTTGACTAAAAAAAGCCACGACATTTACATTGCCAGAATCGTGTTCCTCTCGCCGAGACGCGTCCAATGAACTATAATTTGAACTTGAAAGCTCAACTTGAAAATTTGACCTCAGGTCAAGGTCATGACCTGACCGGAAAAGGTCATGTTGCAAATCATTCGATGCGTCTCAACAAGACAAACATAATGAGGCCATCCCAAGCGTCATATCTCTTTCAAATCGAGAGTTATTGGCAAAAATATGTTTGTAGCCTCAAATGACCTCGGATGACCTTTCTAGAGGCTATCAGCAAAAATGACACCATGGTCGTCACAGGTGGTCCAAATCATTGTGATTCTGAAATATTTGGACTGTTTCTATGCGTACACACGGATCTAGAGGCATTTTCATTTTTCTCCATTGACTTATAATGGTAAGGTCACGCCACTGGACTGACCTTAGGTCACGGATATAAAAAATCCGAAATATACAATTATAGGTGCCCATACCATCATGCAATCCACCAAGTTTCAAACCTTTCTGACAAACACTGCAGGCTGGACATGATTGCAAACTTTTTTAGGCTTGGTCAGTTAACTTGACCTGGTGACCTGACCTGACATGACCTGGGGTCAAAAATTTCACACATTGTCCAAAATTGATGTACAAAAAGCTACCCCAAGCGGCACGGCGCTACGCGCCGCGGTTTTTTATTCACACGCAAAAAACGCGACAGGGTGGTAACATATGCCCCCCCCCCCCCCCACTGAGGCGAAGGTTAAATATGCTTAGAGGGCATTTTTTAAGGGATTTAGAGTGCAACCACACGCTCTGCAGTCTGCACCTTTCTTCCGCCGCCACAGCCTGCGAACACAGATCGCGGGAAACAGCCCAGTAGGCTGTTTTCAGCCTACTGGGCTGAAAACAGCCTACATTTTTCTTCAATGTTTTTATAGTAGGGGAGAGTGGGGTAAGATGCCCAGGGTGGGAAAGACGCCCCACCCCCTCTACCGGCAAAACAAAAAATCAAACCTGGAAATTAATGTTCTTAGCGTAAAGCGGAAACCTTCCTTGTTTACTGCACAAAAATTTGCCAAGCTCAGTTGGGCAACGGTGGGCTGGTGGTTGGTTGTTTTATATGTGCTGCTTTCAAAAATATTTTAGTGTTAAAACATTGTGAATATCAAAGAAATTGTAAAAAAAAATTAAGACCCTTGCTATTGTCGTGATACATTTATATGCGTGTACTTTGCCTCAACTAGTTTGTTTCAGGGTGTAGTTTTAGTGCTAACAAAATGTACTGATTAAATGTTAATTCGGTACCTTGGGGAAAGATGCCCCCTGACCTGATAGGGAAAGACGCCCCCCTAAATCCGTGGGCTGTCCTTCAAGGAACTCGTCGAATCATTTAGTACATACTTGTGAAGAAAGACAAAAGTCGATTTGGGACTATTGAGAGTCCAATACGGTCAGTTGCTCGTCATGTCGGTTTCATGGCCCATATGCCTACTTTTTGGGCGGTATCTGACTCTGAGAGCCATCACATTCACGACGGCCTCTGTAGGCCCCAATTATTGGCTTCGAGGCCCCTCACGACACTTTTATGGCCCCACGGGCCGCGCTGGCATGTGAGGTCCCCACGATGGTCTTACGGGCCTTCAAGTCTCATGAAGATCTATAAGGGCCCCACAACGGTCTCCGAACGTCACCACGGAAGCTTGTTTGGCCGCGCTGGACTATGATGGCCCCACGATGACCTCTGAAGCCCCTTGCGATGACTTGTTTTGCCCTTATGATGGCGTTCAATTGTCTACCGCAGGCTCGAATGTAACTGATTCGTTCAGGCAATTCACGTGCCCATTTTGTCACTTATAGTGCGGAGGAGCATCTTACCCAACCGCAGAGGGCGTCTTTTCCACCCTCTGGGGTAAGATGCCCCCTTGCACTTCTTCAGGAAAATGATTAATAGCAAAAAAGTTATCATATTTCAAGCGCAAAAGTATGTTATTTTGTGGAGAAAAATGATGTCGGGTTCTGTTAAAACTTCAAGTTTTTGCTTTCCAATTGTCATTTTTGAATAATATATGAGATTGTAAAACCCTGGGCATCTTTCCCCACTCTCCCCTAACTGTCAAAAATATCTAAGTTCTTCAGGAAAATGCAAGAAAAAGTATTAACCCGCAACGAGCTTCCGAAACAACAATAACAAATAGGTTCTCTTGCCATGCATAAATATTGCCATTCAAACATTGCCAGTAAATCAAGGGCGGAGCCAGGATTTTCTTCGGCTAGGGGTCAATGGCATAGGGGTGGCATGCTCTCCACTTGCCAGGGGCGGCAAAATGTACGATTGTATCGCCAGTGGTCAAAGCTAACTTCCTCGTTAGCCCTTTCCTACGGTTTTAGTTATGGCGATGCTTAGTGTTGCGGCGCCCCGGATCCACCCCTGCACTGAACCACGAAAAAAACTTTCAAAAAATAAACAATAAAAAGTAGAAACAGATAGCACCTACGCATCTCGTACATACCAGACAGCACCTAATTCTGACGGAATACTTCGGTTGCCCCTGCAGATGGAGGGAGCGTCGTCCTTCAGCGTGGTCGACTACTGCGTGTTTGGCGGCACGCTGCTGCTCTCGCTGCTCATTGGAGTCTACTACGCCTGCCGCGGACAGCACTCCAATGACGAGATGCTGCTCGGAGGGCGCAACCTGCGCGTGCTGCCCGTCTCCATATCGGTCATGGTCTCCTTCCTCTCCGCCATACTTATCCTAGGTTAGTGAGAGTTCTGTGTATCATCGAGGACCAAAGGAGGAAGTAACTGACGACAGGCTAAACTCTTATTTTGCACTTCACTTATTATCTTCGGCATTGTGAAACGTATTGCGAATAATTCATTTGGTAAAGGTATTGAGTTCGTTCTTTTCCCGCCCGTTCCAGGTGTTCCTGCCGAGATGTTCATGAACGGAGCTGAGCTTTGGCTCATCTTTATGACGGCTATTGTGACCGTACCGATAGTCGCATTTCTGTACGTTCCCATTTTCTATGCCTGTAAGCTTACATCAGTGTACGAGTACATCAATGAGAGGTAAGCGAAATGTTAGGTATATGTTGCACGAAGGTATTGAACATTCCCATCTCAACATAACATATACCGGGTGGCCCAAAAAAAACGTTCCGAACTTTGGAAGCCTATATCTTAAATTTGAGTGCAAATAACGAGTCAAAATTTTCATCAAGTTTGCGTCATTTCTTTGCGCATTGGTATGCCAAATCATAACACTATACCATCATTTTCAAGCTTCCAATCTTTTGTTGAATTAAGCAAGACGTCTCTGCTTTTTTTGCCGATGCTGAACGATAGTGATGATTGGGTTAAACGTCCCATGTTAGAAAAAAAAGAATAGAAAAAAATAGAGCACGTGAATGAAACCAACACGTGTGTTATTTGAAATATTATTGTCTCACTTATGTGCCAAACATTCAAATACTGAGCCAAAATGGTGTTCATGGATGCCATTCGTTTTAACACCAAATCATGTTTCGAGCATGGTGGCAGTTGGCACGGTGCATGGATTACTGCTGATTACCCTCCTTTTAGTAGATCAAATAGTAAATCGACCGGATAAGGAAAACAAACTAAAGCAGGCTGGTTCCTGTGCCAGAAGACCACAGAATAGCTTATGAAAAACAACATTGCCAGCAGATGACAAAAAAAAACTGGTTGAAAAGCTACCTTTTTCCAGGAACATGACAGCCAGGAAAGCATTCGAGCCACAGGATGGTTAGAACACTGGAAACTTCTTCCGATAATGTTACCGCTGGCACAGAGCCATCGTGGTTGCCTGAGGGAATGTGTCATCCTGAGGCCCGCACCATCAATGAGTCCAGCTGCCAGTAGCAGTCATGGCTGAATAGGCCGTGGTGCCGGGATGAAAGTGGCCCGTTCACTCACATTTTTGAGTAAACATCTGAGCAAAAAAGTAATTTTTACATGGCATGCTTGAAACACGAACCGTTCAAAAAGTAAGTTACCGAATAGCATAAAAATCATACCATTCACTGCAAATATGTGCCGCATTGACTATTCGAAGTTTCATTGTTGTATCTTTATCACTTGCTGAGAAATATTGATTTAAAGTTGGGAACGTTTTTTCTGGGCCACCCGGTACAGTGGGTGCATTACTTAGTTACACCGAATGCATAGCATACTCGTATACCTACCAATGGCACAATCTAAAAATTTGCTGGAATCTCGATGCTGCCTTGCAGTAGGTTTTGAAAAACCAAAAAAAAACCTTCCTAGCTTTTTTGTCGTGGATGATATGTAAAACTCGAGGATTGCCATCATTTTTATGCTCGTGATGCCATTCATACATACATGAACTGTTATAACAGTGCTCATCATATATGTTCATGCATACCATCCATACGATGACGTGCACACCCCGTTCCCAGGTTCGCCAGTCCGGCCCTACACGGTATCGTGGTGGCCAGCTCGCTGATCCAGATCACCTTCTACATGGCTCTGGCACTGTACGCGCCGGCACTGGCCCTCAGCTCGACCACGCCGCTCACACTTGAGATGAGCATCATCGGAACGGCCGCCGTCGGCACCGCCTACACCGCATTCGTAAGGGAACCTCACCGTGTGAACCTTACATTATACGGCCGCCGTCGGCACCGCCTATACCGCATTCATAAGGAAACTTAACCCACCGAGTGAGTCTTTTAACCAGTAGCGGCGGAACACCTTCAATTAAGGGGGGGGGGGGCACTGCCGACATTTGGTCCCGTTCTTTCCATGCAACGCCCATAGGGCTAATCTTAAAATGTCAAAATCAAAGGGGGGCACGGCGCCCCGGTGCCCTCCCCGTTCCGCCGCCTATGCTTTTAACCTTCATATACGGCCACCGTCGGCAACGCCTATACCGCATTCGTAAGGGAACCTTACTGTTTGAACCTTACACTATACGGCCACCGTCGGCACCGCCTACACCGCATTCATAAGGCATGGTTGACGGCCGAGTCATTCGTGGTTGGGTCCATTTAAAATGAGCCACCCATGACCCACCTACCTGAAATACGAATTTTAAATGCCTGAATGGTATATGCCTATATGCATAGTATGGTTGCATGTGTCTATGCTTGGCGTTTGTCCCATTGCGTGCGCTGTTGTTCGGAAATGATTAAAGCTATGTGCGCTCCTTATCTGGGCCATGTTTTCAGAGGTGGGTCAAAAAGTCTGCACGTATCAAGTGCCACGTGGGATTCATTGGCTGCCTATAACTCAAAACAGCGCCGTTACAGACGAAGGCTTATGCCTATCCGATTCGTATCCGGCCTACGAGTTTTACCGTCCGTTTTGAAACGGATCAGATTAGAGTTTGTTGAAGTATAGGGAGATTATGAGTATGTACGTACTTATCAAAAATGATTCCGTGATACTGACCTGGAAACACCGTGCCGTTATTTTTCAGGGCGGTATGAAGGCCGTGGTGTGGGCCGACGTCCTTCAGGCAGCCATCATGGCCGCCGGAATGGTCGCCATCATCGTCCAGGGAGCCATCAACGTCGGAGGCTTCGGTAACATTTTCACCATCAGCGCAAAGCAAGACAGGCTAAATATTTTCAACTTCAACTTCGACTTATGGGAAAGGTGAATGACAAATGGTAATACCATATACACTTAATTAATTTGTCGAAATACTACCCAACTAGGCATAGGGTAGAGCAAATGCATTCACAAACATGAAGACATGACGCAAAAATAAATACAACGAACACTCGGGCACATAAATACATAGGTAAGCGCCCGTGCGCGCTTTTTATAAAAAAAGGATAGACAGTTTCTGAAATACGGAACTAAAAAAAAAATTAGGAAGGCATCGTTTTACATAAAACAGTCACTCAGGCTTAAATGACACATGTGTTAATTATATACTTGGCTTCCAACGAAATCGGGTAGCAGTAAGCGTGGCTAATGTTATAGGAAATGCTCTGGGAATTAAAATAAATGATTGGCCCTGGAAGTTAAATGTGTATGCTTAGGTATTGTAGTATTACATTACCAGTTCTGCGGGGAAAAACGGATCAAAATCACTCGACGGGATAATAACCGTTTTCACGACGGGCTATCCGGCGACTGCAACTGATCTGACCAAATCTGCACCTTATTTCTTTTACAGCAAATATCTTCATTTAATGAATTTATTTCAGTGTTTTAATCGATGATGCTCTCTGATATATGACAAAGCAGGCATATAAGCAATTAGTGCAACCCTAGCTGATAGCTGCTAAGAGACACACTGAACCTGATTTGACCAAATCTGCACCTAATCTGTACCAGATGTGCACCAAATGTGTACCAGATGGCCGTCGTGAAAACGGCTATTGCATCATTGAGATGTACTACTTAAATTCTGTAATAGTGATCGCTAGCCGATGAATGACAAGTGTTTTGTGATTGCAGGCATAATTTCTGGAATCTCTTCTTTGGCTCGATATTTGCTGGCGTGGGGATGTCCGGAGTCTCGCAGCCCGCTGTCCAGCGGTACAACAGTCTGCCCAGCCTGACAGCAGCAAAACAGTGAGTCATCGACATCATTCATACCCCCGACATAACTACCTCAGATGTGCAATGTACACCCAAACAGCCCATATTCATCTCAGAGCAGCTCACAATCAGCAAGGGCGTTTTCTTCCGGCTTACGGTTACTATAATAATGATGATTTATTACCTTCACAGATGCTGTCTTCTATTGGCACCCGGCTACATGTTTTTCGGCACCCTGGCCTGCCTCTGTGGACTGGCTATTTTCGCCAACTACGCCGACTGCAACCCACTAGAGCAGGGACTTATTCAGAGAAAAGACCAGGTGAAAAATAAAAACGTTAGCTTAAAGGTAGTGTGCCACCTTTGAAAGATTTCCCATTTTATTTTTCCTAGGATAAGAAGCTTCTGTTTTTACCTAATATCGCAAAAGAAATTAAAAATGGGCCTGGAATAGTGCCTTTTTCGCCTAAAAGTTTATCGGTTTTGCGATATGTATAACAACTGTAGTGGGCCGACCTGCAAACAGGCGTCGGCAACAATCGCGAATGCGGCGCACATGTGACAATAAGCAAAGGTCATTATAGAGTTACGACGTACGGGAATGAGTTATCAGCTGTCTAATCGTAGACAACACAATGTCGAGCCTTAAACTGTAAGCCTGTATTGGTATTGTTTCTTTTATTTGGCTGTCGAACATTATTTATGGTTTGAAATATGATTTTATGTAAAATAATTGATATGAAAAAGCCGTCTCTTAAGTTATGACCCCATTTCATCACACGCAAGTGGCAGAAATGACAATGATCAGCTGACGCATTTTTCTTGGCCGAAGTCAGAGCGCGCGGCCCGACGCACCACCACCGCACCACAAAGTATGAGCAGAAGCCGCGCCCAAAGCCAGGGCCCCGGTAACGTGAGGTAGCCGAGTCGGGGCAGCGTGCGCTGACCCAAGCCGGGGCCGCAGCTTTGGGCGCGGTCTACCGCATCCCCGCGGGCAGCCCCGGGCTATCACATGACACCGGGAGGACGCGCGGCCCCGGCTTGGGTCAGCGCACGCTGCCCCGACTCGGCTACCTCACGTTACCGGGGCCCTGGCTTTGGGCGCGGTCTACCGCACCACCTAACAGGCGTGTTCGAAACTGCAGGAGATGATGATAAACGGGTTTATCGAAACTTGATTGGATGAGCATATCGGTAATAGCGGTTTCAGTGTGTGCATTTATTGTTCATAGTGGTGTGAAATGTGGTTGGGGTACGACCGACAACCCGTCGGGGCGAATTTCGCACTGGGGTACTCAAAATTTGAAGAATTTAAGACGTTTCCATGAGTTTTGAAGGTATGGATAAGTTCTAAAAATCCGATTCTCCTTATCTGGGCCATTAACTCCATACGGTCCAGGAAAGCTGGCACACTACCTTTAAGTCTCATGTAGTCGTTCTCACAACGCTCGATGCTGGTGTTCGCCTTTGCTTTGATAAGTGATTTAGGGAATATTCCATAATAATTCTCGATTGGCAAATATGCGATTTGCGAAACGATGCCCTCATCACTGACAATGTGTTTTGATCGCGTTTCCAGCTGGTGCCGTATTTCGTGTTGGACCAGATGTCCTACCTCACCGGCCTACCGGGACTGTTTGTGGCCTGCATCATGTCGGGAGCTCTCAGCACGGTGTCCTCTGGTCTGAACGCGCTGGCTGCGGTCACCTGGAAGGACTTTGTCGGAAACATCCCGCTCTTCATGAAAATGTCGGCCGAAAAGCAGTCGTGGGCACTCAGAATCATCAGTAAGGGAAATGGATGTTGGCTGACTACGACTCTAAATGCAGACCCATGTGCGGTAGGTTTGTGGCTGAGTTGTCAGTCGCTGCGGTAGGTACCAACACGGTCTTGTGTGGCATGGGTCTGCTTTACCGCGGGACTGACACAGTGTTGTGTGGCAGGTCTGCTGCAGTGCAGAACTGACACGGTCTTGTGTGGCAGGTTTGCTTTACCGCGGGACTGACACAGTGTTGTGTGGCAGGCTGCTGTACCGCGGGACTGACACAGTGTTGTGTGGCAGGTCTGTTGTACCGCGGGACTGACACAGTGTTGTGTGGCAGGTTGTTGTACCGCGGGACTGACACAGTGTTGTGTGGCAGGCATGCTGTACCGCGGGACTGACAGTGTTGTGTGGCAGTCTGTTGTACCGTCGTACCAACACAGTCTTGTGTGGCAGGCTGCTGTACCGCGGGACTGACACAGTGTTGTGTGGCAGGTCTGCTGCACCGCGGGACTGACACAGTGTTGTGTGGCAGGTCTGGTTAGCGCGGAACTGACACAGTGTTGTGTGGCAGGCATGCTGTACCGCGGGACTGACACAGTGTTGTGTGGCAGGCTGCTGCACCGCGGGACTGACACAGTGTTGTGTGGCAGGCATGCTGTACGGGCTCGTCGCCGTGGGCCTGGCGTTCGTCGCCAGCAACCTCGGCGGTGTCCTGCAGGCCACCATGAGCATCACCAGTGCCTTCGGAGGACCCCTGCTCGGCGTCTTCACACTGGGCATCTTCGTCCCCTTCGCCAACGGCAAGGTGAGGTCGGTCGCCACGCCACAAACATTATGGCCGTGGTGAAATATGGTGTCTCACGTCACCAGCACGAGCGATCTCATGTATGTACGCATGCCTCCTACCGTGTTAGAAATTATTAAAATACTTCAATTATTCAGCTTAGGTTTTAAATATAAAATATAGGTGTGCAGAAGAAGTCTGCTGTCTAAGTGAGACTGTTCGCATATCCCCTCTGAATGTTTTTCAATAATGCAAAATATACAAATACATACCTACTGTAGACATGAAAATTGAAGTCACCTCTACATAAAAGAAAAAAACGAGTGTCGCTCAAGGTCCTTCCACGATTGGGAAACACAACCATGGTGAATGCCTGATGTATCCGTCCCGACCCGTCCGACAGGGCACCCTGGCCGGCTTCGTGACGGCGCTGGCGTTCTGCATCTGGATGTCATTCGGCGCCTTCAGCAGCGGCACCCAGCCGCCCCCGCTGCCCTCCTCCGTGGCCGGCTGTGGCACCAATCTGACGTCACTGGCCGCCGCGGTGACGTCATCCACACCGGCGCCGACCGCGGCCACGTCCAGCGCTCCGGAGGCCGATGGCGACGGGCCAGGGTAGGCAGCAGTCAGCACGACGAATTATTGTCTAGTCAGATGGTCATATGCACTAAGTAATATCTTCGGAATAAATATTTCGGGAGCAAGTGGGCATTTGTTATACCAGCTCTACACCATGGTGACCTGTCCCCTTTCCCGCCAGTGTCCTGGAGCAGTACATCTACACCGTGTCGTACCAGCTATACACCATGGTTGGACTTCTGATCTGTTTGCTGGTCGGCATCATCGGCAGCATATTTACCGGTTAGTGCGCCCACTCACTTAATGTTTGTCTATCACGACACGGGCATTTGAAGATAGTTAAAGCACTTTTTGAGAAAAGCGTTTCTTATCACTTTTCAGATGAACAATTGCATTCAAAGTTATGCAATCAACAACACCTTGTGGAGTTGTAACCGTGCTTAATGAGTGGTTTTGAGAATAAGATTTAAAAAAAATAGGCGTACCTTTTGGCGAGATTCATGCGCGCTCGCCCGCTGTGATACCGGATAAAAGTGCATTCAGTGTTCTAACAATTGCCTACATACCGGCCTTGTACATACCTATGTTTTTGTTTTTGTTTTAGTGCAGACCAACTTTGGCATTGAAAAAAATCAGGCTGATTGTTTAAGTTTTCATTATAAAAACAAATCAGGAAATATTCCAATCTTAGCATAATAAGACTTAAAAAAATGATATATTTAAACAGACATAGCGTCGGACGAAAAAACAAAGAAGAAAATACGATTAAATCCACGACTGTTTCCCTTTACAGGATGCAGCCGACATCATCATTTCAAGAAATCGCTGGTAAATCCAACGGCCTTCAGACTTCTGAACCGGTTCAACCGTCATCAGGACTCGTTCGATCTGAAGAGCGGCGTCCAGAACACAGGCTACACCAACGATGAGAAGGAGGCTGAGAGTAACCATCACCTGGCGACGTACAGAGGCGGACTGGAGCACAAGGAGGGACACTAAAGGACGCCGCTCGCTGTGTACACAAATACCCAATGTTATACTTTATTGTCATGGCATTGCTGAATTACTCGTTTGAGCAGTTATCATAGTACGATTGACGCTTTTACTTTTTGACATATTTGGGGAGTACGTATAAATGGATCCGACATTTTATGTACGCACAAATGTGGTAGTGAAAAGTGATGTTCCATGTTGTGTTTATACTACGTACTTTTGTGGACGTTTTTATAATGAATAGGTAAGAGGCAAATAATGATGCATTTGTTAGGTATCATAGTAAATAAGAACTAGCTATTGAACGTGTGTATGAGATAATAGTTATAAGATTAGCTGTCATCGTTATCTTTTATTGCGAAAGCCTATAGGTGCATGCAAATGTCAGATTGGGTGACAAATAGTTATTCAACCAAGTCTCTATTGTTCTCACGTTAAGCAGCCCGGGAAAGTGCCGGTCAAATGCGTTCAGAGAATGGTTCTATAAACTGGGAAGGAGATGGCATAAAAGAAGCGTGAGAGTGAAGGACGTAGGGCGAGAGTTTCGACATAAGTACCACATTCATTGTAGAAATCCACTGAGAAATAGATTGGCAGACAGCACGATGTGCAATCTCACGTACTTACCACACGATGGCATGTCTTATTGTCCTGTTGCTCGAATGAGCTCATTTTGCGTGCGTTGCGTTGACCGAACGTAAGAAAATATAAACATGATATGTAATCGTATTTCGGTTACATGAAGAAGAAATCATCTAAATAAATATGTGACTTAAATAGGTGATCGAAAAGCTAAAAATTGAGGATGCCTTGGCGCGTCGTTCATCCATTGTTTATACCTAAGGCTAACCATATCTGAAACGTTCTATCCTGAGCCAAGTATGTGTCTGGGTAGTGGATAATAGCCTTTTTCACGACGGCCATCTGGTACACATCTGGTACAGATTAGGTGCAGATTTGGTCAAATCAGGTTCAGTGTGTCTCTTAGCAGCTATCAGCTAGGGTTGCACTAATTGCTTATATGCCTGCTTTGTCATATTATCAGAGAGCATCATCGGTTAAAACACTGGAACAAATTCATAAAATGAAGATACTTGTTGTAAAAGAAATTAGGTGCAGATTTGGTCAAATCAGGTGCATTCGCCGGATAGCCCGTCGTGAAAACGGCTAATTACGAGCGAGCGAGCGCAGCGAGCGAAGCGAGTCTTTTCAATATAACGGAAAAATCTCAGTATGAGCGGCCCGGCCCGGCCCGGCCTGTAACGCTTTCGAGAGGCTTATATCTCAGCAACCGCTGGACCGATTGGCCTGCGGTCTTTTTTGCTGGGTAGCCCCATCCCTTCTACCCCGTAATTGACTACTTTTGATACATCTCAGTGACCGTCGTGGCACGTGCCACGTGAAAAGTTAAGGGTGTTCAAGCTGCTTTGCAAAAGTAGTGATTTTGAGAGGCTCATATCTCAGCAGCCGCTTGGGCGATTGACTTGCGGTAATTTTTGTAGGGTAGCAGCATCCCTTCTACCAAAAATAGGATACTCTCGATGCATGTGGGTCACCCCCAGTGCACGTGCAAAATACAACAATAAGAGGTGTCAAATTTGTTCCCATTTTAATAACTCGGTAATTACTGGGGCGATTTCGCTGAAACTTGGCATACAGGTAGGCACCCACCAGGCAATGCATTCCCATGTGTTGCGGTTAAGGTGCTACTGCACGTGCGCACGTGCAGGGGGCGCTTCCAGATCTCGAGAACGGCTGGGCCAGGGGGATGTCGTCCCGGTTCTCCCCATGTATTATTCGCCAATCAGCTTAACACTACCAGTGACGTCACTGGTGGATCGCCAATGGGGGCCGGCCGGCCGGGCCCGTAGAAGGCCAAACGCAGACGTTTTCAGAAAAGCGTAAGCCGTATAGATACAGTCGTGGATGGAGTTTTGCTGTAATTCGGCTCTCCAAGAGTGCGTCAGGGTACCAGGACCCGGATAAAGGTCATAGTGAACCGGCATCTGATAAAACCCGCTCACGGCTTAGCAGCCGACTTCGACCCTTCGCCCTCGTAAAGCACAAAAGCTTGCCGGTCATCAATCCACCTGCATCTCCCCATCTGCTTACTGCCTATATCGACCAGTTACTGCAGCCGTTTTGGAGCGGCTCGCGGCCGATAACACGCCGGGCGTGCGCTAGCCACCGGTGCTAAGCACTAGCCATTGAGTGCGCGTGGCCAGGGGCGTCGACACCGGTCCGACTTTTCCGACTAGTCGGACCACTTTTTCGACTAGGCGGTGCCCTGCTGTGGCTCGCGGGGGCCCCTGCTGCAGACCGCGGGGGCCCTACTGCGGCTCGGGGGGCCCTGCTCATGTATGTATGTAAATGTACGTTGGGAAGCCGTTCGACACCTGGGGGCCCCCACCGGTGGGGGCCCCCCGAGAAAAAGTCGGACCAGTTTTCCTTACGCGTCGACGCCCCTGCGCGTGGCCGACTGCCGCCCCGATGGTGCTGGCCCCCGGCACCGACACCGGCGCGGCGCCGCTGACCCATGGGGGGGGGGGGGGGTTGCTAGAGCCGGAATTGGGATAGAAGCCGGTATGGGATTGGGATGGAAACTCAGCGAGACTAAGGGATTGTGTTGTGCCTTCGGTAGGCCCCCAAAATCATCGGTGAAGTGCCCTCAGGGCCGCCGGTTATGAAGCCTTTGGAGGCACTGGTGTGGGCACTCACAGGTAGGGAGCGGTGTGAGGCCCTCAGAGGCATTGGTGCGGGGCCCCGAGGTGCCGCTGCAGGCCCTCTGAGGTGCTAGTGTGTGGCCCTCAGAGGCGCCGGTGAGGGTCCTCACAGTTACCATTGTGGGCCCTCAGAGACACTGCAGTGTGGGGTTATCACAGTCGGGTGTGGAACCCTTAGAGCTGCTGGCTCGAACCCTTTATAAGCCGACAGGGGCTCTCAGAGACCGACAAGGGGCCCTCAAGAGGTCTGCGGTGTCTTCAGGAGCCCTGTGGAGACTGGAGTCCTCAGAGACCAGCAAGGTACTCTCAGACGCCGGTGGGGGCCCTCAGAGTCGTCGGTGTGGGGCCCTCAAAAGTCACCGGTGAGTGGCCACTGGCCGTCCGATGCGAAGGTTCCGTCTGGGGCCGTCAGAGGCTCCGTCGTTCAGCCCTCAGAGCCGCCGATAGATATATGGCCAAGAAGCACTGGTTTGGGCCTTTGGGACTTCATTCAGGGGTGCCGGTTGAACTCAGAGGTGGCAGTGTGGGGCCCTCAGCTGGGCACCGGTTTGGGGCTTTCACAGCCGCCGGTGAGGGCCCTCGCAGGCGCCGTTGTGGGGGCCTTCAACCATTGGTTTAGGGGGTCATCACAGGCGTGTGTGTGGAACCCTCAGAGCTGCTGGTCCCTGATAGGCCGGTAAGGGCCCTCAGAGGTCGCCAATGGGCCCTGAGAGGCCGGCAAGGGGCCCTCAAATGCCGACAAGGGACAATAAAAAGCCGTTGTGTGACTCTTATGGATAGAAGTGTGGCTATTCGGAGCACATATGGTGTTCTTTCGAGCCCTGTGGGGCCTTTCTGAGTCGAAAATGCCAGCGTGGACTAGAGGTGGCAAAACTGGAAAATTTTGGGACCCGGACCCGGACCCGGTCTGACTGGCACATTTCCGGAACCGGTCAGACCCGGTCTAAGTCTGCGTTGGAACCAGATGGACCCGTTCCCGAAATTCATTATGAAAATTGTGTACATTTGTAGGTATAGCAAGAAGAAAATAGTTTCTTTCCAATTGGGCATACTTGTGTTGAAAAGTAAAAAACTCATGCCATGGTCATTTCACTTCGCTTCACAATTTGTATTTTAGAACCAGAGTCAGGTCATATTTAAGATTATAAGAAGTAGACCAATGAATTTCATGCTAACCTAAGCCACTTTTACTACAGCTGCTAAAAATGATGTGAACTGGGGATCCATGGAGCAGTGCCTTCACCAGAGTCAGAACCTAACATCAACATGGAACAAGATAACCATACTGATACATACCTTTTCTAATATTATTGGTAAAAGATATTAGTTTTTAGAATTAAATTCATTAGTCCTTACAAATATTGTCAACTATCCAAGGCCCCAAACAAGAAAACATTCAAAATCAAAATAAATCAGAACTTTGGGAGGTCCGCCAGAAATGTCGACACGATAGCAATGCAAGGACAAAACAGGCGTTAAATCACTGCAAAATTTTGTTGGGGTTAAAGTACTGCAAAATCGTTATGACAATAAACTTTTATGTAGCGCAAGGTTGCGATCATGACTGCCAATTTATTAACGTAGAAAACAAACTACATTTTGTTGTTAGTACCTAGATAAAGAATAAATACTTAGGGTTCTGAGACTTACATGATTTCTTCCCGAACGTGTTCCAAAATTGTAACCTTTATGCAGTAGATTAGCGTGCGTAAGGCATAGCATATATGACGCTCAAATGCGCCATTTTCACATCAACACGGAATCATTGGCCTTGAAGAAGGGCATTGGTATTGACTCAGTTTTTTGCCAGTTGCTGCCGTATGATGGCGCTAGTAGAGCGCTATATGTATAATACGCTCTGCTAGCGCCACCATGCGGCGCCAGTTGGCTAAAAATCTGGTCAATACTACGGTTTCTGGAGAATGCCTTGGATTCATTTCTAGCTTTATGGATTTCTGCAAGGGCATGTTGGTTTTATGAGTTGTCTTCTGGCCGTGATAGAAATAATTTCAAAGCTGTTTGAGTTATGAAATGCATTTGAATACCAAACATGAACTCTGATTTCCGGTGGGCATAGTGACTTTGGTATGTCAATGTCTTTGAAAAGGCAGGTGAGAATGCCACTGGTCAGCCTTGCTTCAATTGGATTTGTGTCCATTTATAAATGGATTTCAGTCATACCTACTTACCTACATATGTTATTGGTATTTGATTTCTACAGCTCAAAATATTGCTAGGTGTAATTGTACAGCAAACTGAATGGAAGTGATCTGTGTCGTGCGTATCTTAAATGAACCGTACATGTGTTTGATGCTGCCCCTAGATGGCAGCACAAGGGAGCTAGCTGTTGTTGGCTGGAGAGCGCCATGTTGTTGTTATTGTTTTGTTGTGTACTGAGCTGGTCGGAGTGACCGCTCCGTGTTTAGAAGATGAGCCTTGCCCTTATTCGTTCAACTTGAGTGCTCTGCTGGAACTCAATACAGATACTCAATACCATTACGTTACCTTACGTTACATGGTGTCAGAAGATGGCGACGAACTTTCGCCCCCCACCAGAAATAAACATGGCGTCGCCGACACTGGGTTCCGAATGGCGACAGTGGCGAAGAGAATGGAAATATTATGCAGTGGCATCCGAACTGATGACAAAACCGCCACTGGTACAGGTGGCTACGTTCTTTAACTGCGCAGGACGTGGGGCTCAGGAAGTTGCGTCGCATTTTCCCGACTGGGAAGAGACAAATGGCGACCTTGAAACGCTACTGGAGCGCTTCGATGCGTTTTGCATCCCACGGCAAAATATCGTCATGGAACGATTCAAGTTTTATAATCGAACCCAAGGGCCGGGCGAGCCCATCCTGCAATTCGTGGCAGCTTTGAGGACCATGGCTGCAACATGCGAGTTCCCGGATCGCGACAATATGCTACGGGACCGCGTTGTGATGGGTGTGAGGGACTCCCGCACACAGCAGGCCCTTCTGAAGAAGTCTGGCCTCTCGCTCACACAGGCGATTGACATCGCACTTGCCGAAGAAGCGGCCAGCCGTGACTCCAAGTTGATCAGCGCCGGAGACGAGCAGCGGCCGCCGACTGAGAGTGGAGTAGCTGCATCTATGGTGGCCCGACAGTGTCGCTTCTGCTGCCAATCTCACCAGATGGCTCGAAAGTATTGCCCAGCGTGGGGCAAAACGTGTGCAGTGTGCCAAGGCACGAACCACTTCGCCGGCAGCCAGCAGTGCCCGGGGCGCGCCGCTGAGCCGCGCCCGCGCCGCCCAGCCGGCGGCAGCGCTCAGCCGACGGCGCGCCGATCAGCTGACTGGCGGCCGGCTCCAGCCGCCGCGCAGGGACGGCGGCCGGCGAGTCGGCCGGCGGCGGCGGCGGTACAGCCGGAGGTATCACCGCCAGCCAACGTCAGCCCGGAGGCTGAGTTCGACATCATGACGACCGAAGGTTTTCCAAGTAAGGCCCACAAAACACTTTTCACTGCGGGTGGAGTGCCGGTGACATTTTTAATCGACTCCGGTGCTGAATGTGACGTCATTACACGTGCTGACTATGTGCGGCTGACGGGTGACGAGCAGGGTGAGCGGCTGAGGCCGTGCTCGACGGCACTCCGCATGTATGACGGGGGACTCGTGTACACGGATGGAAAAGTGAATCTTGAACTTAGTAACCCTGTGACGGGGCACAACTGTACGCTACAATGTAAAGTAGTCAAGGCGGCTATCGCGCCGATCCTTAGTCTAAAGACATCGCTCCGTCTAGGGCTGATCGACGTCAAAGACAGTGACCCGTTGGAGTATGTGTACCACTCACCTAACAGCCGGTCACGGGCACCGACCCCCGCCCCTCCGCCCACTGGCCGGTCACGAATTATCGACCAGTATCGGGATGTGTTTGATACAAGCAGGGTGGGTCTGATTTTGAAAGACTACGAGATTGTCACCGATCCCTCTGCGGTCCCCGTGGTCGACGCTCCTCGCAGGGTCCGTATTCACGTGAGGGACAAACTGAAACGGAAGTTGGACGAGCTCGAGGCTCTTGGCGTCGTGTCACCGATCGTTGAACCCACTGACTGGGTTTCCCACCCCGTGATCGTAGATAAGCCGTCAGGTGACATCCGACTCTGCATCGACCCCCGCCATCTAAACAAGGCGGTGCGCCGGGAGCACTATCCAACCCCGACTGTTGACGAGATAACCGCGCGTATGAGTGATGCTAAAGTGTATAGCGTGTTGGATGCCGCAAACGCCTTCTGGCAGATCGGATTGTCGGAGGCGTCAGCGCGTTTGTGTTGCTTCCACACACCCTTCGGCCGGTACGTGTGGAAGCGCCTGCCGTATGGTGTTACTTCGAGCCCTGAAATCTGGCAGCGAGTCATCAATGATCTAGTTAGTGGTCTACGCGGTGTAGAGGTTATCGCCGATGATGTAGTGGTTGTAGGCAGGGGGGCGTCCATGTCTGAGGCGGAGGATGATCACGATCGAAATCTCTGTGCGTTCCTCGATCGCGCTCGATCCAGGAACTTGGTGCTCAACCCGGACAAATTCCGCTACAAGGTCCCGGAGATCAAGTGGATGGGTCATGTCCTGACCTCCGAGGGAGGCATGCGGCCAGATCCGGCGAAAGTCACGGCTGTTCACGAGTACCCAGTCCCCACTGACGTGCCCAGTCTGAAACGGTTTCTAGGCATGGTCAGTTTTCTCTCCCGCTATATTCCGAACGTCTCCCACCTCCTGGCGCCGCTCCGCGCGCTGACACAGTCGCGCAACGAGTGGTCGTGGTCCCACGTGTGTCAAAGCGCATTTGACCGGGTCAAAACGCTGCTGACGAGCGCGCCAGTTCTGAAATTCTACGATCCGCGGTCACCGGCTACCGTCCAGTGCGATGCCTCGAGCTATGGCCTCGGCGCCGTCCTGCTTCAGGGGGGACAGCCTGTCACATATTGTTCCCGCTCACTCACGGCATGTGAAATCGCGTACTCCCAGCTGGAAAAAGAACTACTGGCGATCAGTTTTGCGTTGACGCGGCTCGATCAGTATGTGTATGGCCGGCACGTGACTGTGGAGACAGATCACAAACCGCTGGTGCCGATCATGGCAAAACCCCTGTGTGATGCCCCGCTGCGTCTTCAGCGGATGCTGCTTCAGCTCCAACGGTACGATTTTAAAATTGTGTATCGTCCCGGCTCACAGGTCCCTGTAGCCGATGCCCTGAGCCGAGCCCCAGTCAAAACGCCGCAAGCCGCGTTCGCTGTGGAGACCTCGTCACTTCGCCTCGTTGATGGCATTTCTGTGTCTCCGCAGCGGCTGGAGGCGATTCGGGCCGCCACTGAGGCGGACCCTGTTCTGACGACGGTCATCCGACAGCTGCAGCTGGGATGGCCGGATGACCGGCGCCGCCTGCCGGCCAGTCTAAGGGCCTTCCACCACCTCCGTGGGGAGTTGGCCTCGGAAGACGGCCTGCTATATAAGGGACGGTGTCTGGTGATACCCTCGTCTCAGCAGCGGGACATCATTACCAGACTTCACAGCACCCACATCGGGGTCGCCTCAATCCTCCGGCTGGCGCGACAGAATGTGTTCTGGGTCGGGATGACAGCCATGATTAAAGAGGCGGTCCTCCGGTGTCCGGTTTGCCTGGCATACCGGCCCTCGCAGCCACCAGAACCTCTGTCCCCGCACGAGATACCGAGTCGGCCTTGGGAAAAAGTGGCCATGGATTTGTTCGACCTTCGTGGAGAGACGTACCTGCTGATTGTGGACTATTTTACGAATTTTGTGGAGGTCGAGCCCCTCAGCCGCTTCACGGCCGCACATGTGATATCTGCCCTGACCTCTCAGTTTGCTCGGTACGGCCTACCAGAGACCCTTATCAGTGATAACGGACCCCCTTTCAGCAGTGACGAGTTTCGGTTATTCACTAAGGAGCTGGACATTCAGCACAAGACCAGTAGTCCGCGCTATCCCCAGTCGAACGGCAAAGCAGAAAATTCTGTTAAAACCGTGAAAAACCTTATGCGCAAGGCTATGGAAGATGGCAAAAATCCACTTTGGGCGCTACTCATGTGGCGCAACACCCCCAGTGAGGGGATGTCTGTCTCACCGGCACAAAAACTGTTCGGTCGCGCCTGTCGCACGTTCCTACCGGCCCTCCGGTCCACCCTCCTCCCGTGCCACCCCTCCGACGTGCCGGAGGCCCTCGCGCGTCAGAAGGCCCGTCAGGCTTCGTACTACGACAGAAAGGCTCGACCTCTGCCTCCCCTGATTCCCGGCCAGTCGATTCGGATGCGTCTTCCCGGTCAGATTACGTGGTCCCCTGGCATATGCCTTCGCGACGCAGGCCCCCGCTCCTACTGGGTCCGGGTCGACGGCGTTACGTATCGCCGCAACCGCCGTCAGCTACTGAGCACCAGTGACCCGCCTCCGCCGCCCCCGCTGGTGGTTGAGGAGCCGCCCGTTTCTCCGCCGGACCGGCCCGTCTCTGAGCCGCCTTCGTATATGCCCCGTGGGACCGATTCGCCGATGTCCTCACCGCCCTCTGCGCGGCGCAGCTCTCTGGGCTCCGACTCCCCGGCCCCAGTACCCCCGGCCCCGGCACTGGACCCCGGTGACTATCGCAGTTCCCTCCGCCGATCGGGGCGCGTCTCCCGGCCCCCGGCCTACTTGGCCGATTATGTGCCGCGATAGCCTCTGTCCGGTGAGATCGTGACTCGGCGCCCCTACATCTGACTTGTAGTATATGCGTGTGGTAACTTGTGTCCCCGTTTTGTCTAATACACCAGGTATTGGTGTTATTGGGCTCAATCGGTGTTATTGGTGTTATTGGATTGTTCTGATGAGAAGAGGAGATGCGTCGTGCGTATCTTAAATGCACCGTACATTGCGCGTGCCTCCGCTGAGTGCATCGTATGTTGCGCGCGTGCCGCGATATGGTGCAGTGTGATGTTGCTTCGAGTGTTGCCGCGATTGATTGTTCTGATGAGAAGAGGAGATGTGTCGTGCGTATCTTAAATGAACCGTACATGTGTTTGATGCTGCCCCTAGATGGCAGCACAAGGGAGCTAGCTGTTGTTGGCTGGAGAGCGCCATGTTGTTGTTATTGTTTTGTTGTGTACTGAGCTGGTCGGAGTGACCGCTCCGTGTTTAGAAGATGAGCCTTGCCCTTATTCGTTCAACTTGAGTGCTCTGCTGGAACTCAATACAGATACTCAATACCATTACGTTACCTTACGTTACATGATCCGTACAAACATTTGGTGAAATGTTTTCTGGATTGCTAGCACTTAGAACTTGTTTATTCTGTTGTAGGTGACAAGATAAGAAATTGAAGCAAGACTGACCAGTATGCTATAGAATAGGTAGCCCAATCTGCAGGAATATTAAAATTCAAAAGTGGAATTGGGACTTATGAACTGGAAACTGCATCAACTATGACTATGTTTGCCAAAGCATAAAAGATATTAATATTTACCATAAAGCACAGGGAAATGATAGGACCCGGTTGGACCCGGCCAAATATTTTGGGGGACCCGGTCTGGACCCATCCGGGTCCAGACCGGTTCCATAGACCGGGTCCCCGGGTCCACATTTTGCCACCTCTAGCGTGGACCCTCAGCCGCCAATGGCGTCGCAGGGCCCCTCGGGCCCGAGAGGCCCCCTGATCCGATGGGGGCACGTGCCCCCTGCCCCCCTCTGGGTGCAGTTAAAGAATGCAATCGGCGGTGCGGGACACAATAATTGCAATCGTTCCTTCTCCCGTCGCGAGGTCGCCCATCCGACCCATATCCCAAGATTGTCAACCCTGGGGCTCGGGTCGGCAATGTATCGGCAAGGAAATCAGGTTTAGGTGGGTAAAAAAGTTATTAAGAGTCATTAGTTGTCGTTACGTTCAGTAATAACAACGATAAAGTGCCAAATGTACCCGACATACGGCTTGGAGCCGGGCGCCGCGCGGTCTCCACCAGTGACGTCACGCTAATGCTTAGCGACCGGTCCATTGGAAATTGCGGGATGATTCTACCTCTCTTATACGGCCTTGGGCTGGGCCGATTGCGCTCAAATTTGGTACACGGTTGGGGACCAGTTAGTAGGGTGCCGTGCAAAAGTCAGTTTGGACCCCGTTTGCACGTGCGCACGTGCAGAATGCCGCTTCCAGATCTCAGGAACGGCTGGGCCGATTGCGTTCAAATTTGGTACACCGCCTAGCGACCGGTTAGAAGGGTGCTTTGCGCAAGCCCGTTGGAAGTACCCTCTCGCCCTTCCGCACGTGCAGCCTGCAGGGCTCACTATCTCGCTCGCTCGTTCTTCGCCCAAAAGGCGTTTTACTGGTATACTTTATAGGAGCCAACACGAGATTATGCGTCAGGATTAAAACAAATAGTGCAACTGACGCTCTATCGCTGATTTTCGATAAAATGCGTTTTTACGAGCGAGCGAGCGCAGCGAGCGAAGCGAAGTCTTTTCAATATAACGGAAAAATCTCAGTATGAGCGGCCCGGCCCGGCCCGGCCTGTAACGCTTTTGAGAGGCTTATATCTCAGCAACCGCTGGACCGATTGGCCTGCGGTCTTTTTTGCTGGGTAGCCCCATCCCTTCTACCCCGTAATTGACTACTTTTGATACATCTCAGTGACCGTCGTGGCACGTGCCACGTGAAAAGTCAAGGGTGTTCAAGCAGTTTTGCAAAAGTAGTGATTTTGAGAGGCCCATATCTCAGCAGCCGCTTGAGCGATTGTCTTGCGGTAATTTTTATAGGGTAGCTGCATCCCTTCTACCAAAGGTCGGTTACTCTTGATCTATGTGAGTGACCCCCACTGCATGTGCAAAATACAAAAAGAAGAGGTGCCAAATTTGTTCCCCCCATTTCAGTAACTCGGTAATTACTGGGGCGATTTCGCTGAAACTTGGCATACAGGTAGGCACCCACCAGGCAATGCATTCCCATGTGTTGCGGTTAGGGTGCTACTGCACGTGCGCACGTGCAGGGGGCGTTTCCAGATCTCGAGAACGGCTGGGCCGATTGCGCTCAAATTTGGTACACGGTTGGGGACCGGTTAGTAGGGTGCCGTGCAAAAGTCATTTTGGACCCCGTTTGCACGTGCGCACGTGCAGAATGCCGCTTCCAGATCTCAGGAACGGCTGGGCCGATTGCGTTCAAATTTGGCACACCGCTAGCGACAGGTTAGAAGGGTGCTCTGCACAAGCCCGTTGGAAGTACCCTCTCGCCCTTCCGCACGTGCAGGGCTCACTATCTCGCTCGCTCGTTCTTCGCCCAAAAGGCGTTTTACTGGTACTTAATGTTGATGTTATAGCGCATTCCCTAGAAGACCCGTGAACGGCAAAACATTTTATCTTTGACCTGATCTGTGACGTCATCGGTGACCCCGAGGTCAATGAAATTGGATTTCCTTCGACAAATTTGACAGCGCTTTCGAACACCGTTTGAATTTTGCGGATCCTTCCCGCAATTTCGGAGATACAAAGGGGGCAAAAATAGCCCCCCCCCCCCGGTCGCATTATAAACAGATCCCGCCGAGGCACGGGTTAATTAACCCTCGCCCGCACATGGGGGCGATGGTTGCCACCCCCCCCCCCCAGGTAGTCTTTCTGCTCTGCACTCAACATTTTTAGAGCTAGAAGGCTGATTTTTCGTATAGCTGCTCCTCTATACTTTCTTGATGTTCACTAAAAATTTCAAGTTTCTGTGATTTTTGGTTTTGGAGATATGACCTTGTTTTTCAGGTCATGTCATGACCCAAATGGCAAATTCTCAACATCTTGCGTTTGCCATGGGCTTGTGAGCTTTTGACACCTTGATTTCGGCCTTTTTTTGCCAGTCTTACCTCCCACCTATCATGGAACATGTTGTTCGACGATGTACAGGTTTCAAGGTCAGGGTCAAGGTCAACCTAGGTCATCTAAGATAATTGCGCTTTAGGCAAGCTGAATTTACTTTTTGTGAAGTTTTTTTGACTGCATATTTGGTAAGAGCTTCTCAGATCATGATTTCATGTAGGTAATATGGACACAAAAACAATCGGTGCACACATCAGTATACACACAGACACACACAGACATACAAACACATATAATTGACCTTGACCTAACTTGACCTGAAATGACCTCAGCAGCAAAAATCTGGTCGGGTAGTGTGACAAAGAGGTTCTAGCTGGCTTGGCACCAGAAAACAGCATCGTCATCGGTATATGATAAGCAGCACACTTGATATCCAACGGTGACCCAAAACAGCAACATTTTTTAGTTTGACCTGACCTGGAAGGTCAATGACTGACCTGAGAAGGTAAAACTGGGTATCATTGGATTTGTCTCTTCCCAAAGAATCTTTTTGGTCTTTACCGCTAAGCTCTATCTCCAACAGGAACGAAATGGCGCGGGGGGTGGCAACCCCCGCCCCCCCCCCCCCCCATGTGCGTTCTAGGATGGGAAAATGGCATGTGCGGGCGAGGGTTAATAAAATGTAATTATCACAGTAAATATGTATTCTCTTGAAGTAAGATTTCCATAATTATCTTGGGTCCTGATTTGTAATTTTAAATTTTTGTAAAAAAAAATGTGACTTGTGTATTCATTGACCTGCAGGCAGAAGGTTATGTCAGGTCATGGGGTCCACTCAGGCCGGCTATTCTTATCTAGGCACTGATTTTAATATCTCTACTGACTCCTCCGCCTGACGAGTTACGGGCCGAAGGGATGATAGAAATTAGCGGGAGACATCGTTCTGAGCGGCCCGCCAGCGACCATTGTGCGCCGACACGGCTGAGCCGTTAGGATGGACAGGCCGCCCAGCCTCGCTAATGGTCACCCCACTGCACGTGAACGTGCATGCCTGAGGGGCTACTCAATACTCAGGTCAATACTCAACGAAGGCAACCGCCCATCTTGGAACAGGGGGTTAGAGGTGTGGAGGAGGATTTATGTGGAATATAGAAGGATCGGGGGCGTGCTGTAAGTACAATTGTACTTATCTGCTCATTGTGCCGTTATAGTCTGTGCAGTATGCAGTATGCGCACTATCCTGGTTGTTAGTAGTGGTGTCAATCGGAACTTGAATCTTCGGAATTCCGATTTTGTCCAATGTGGGCCAATTCGGAATTCGGTTGGACAATGGCAGCAGGCTTTGGACAACTTTGGACAATCGCTTGCTACACCTCAACATTTTTAAAAAGTAGTCGTGTTTAACATTGATTGGCTATTAGAAAGCTCAGCTTTCGATATGATTAACACTTTTGAGCTTGTACCTAACGGTACATGAAAAGCAAATTAAATAAAGGCCGCCCCACACTGGAACTCGCATGCGGGTTGCGAGTTTTGGGTTTTCGGGTTTCTTCAAAATCAAATAATACAATCTAAGCTGAGTGACCCACACTACATCTAACGAGCTAGTCCGCATGTTTTTAGCTTGCGAGCGACCTTGCATCGAATTCCAAAAGTTGATTTTGAGTCAACTTTCGATTTTCCTCGCTGCGAGGTCTGCGAGCTCTGCGAGGCTTGCGGGTTTTTCGTTGGAGTCGAATTTTGGTTCGTTGCGCTGGTATTGCGACTATATTTATGTGATTATGTGATTATGTGATTATATATGTGATTTTCTGAAGGTGCACCGGCTTCATTGCATTCATAACATTACTATAAAGGAACGGTCTAATCACTCTATGAATTAGTATTATGCCCGCAAACTCAAAACCCGCAAACTCGCAACCCGCATGCGAGTTCCAGTGTGGGGCGGCCTTCAGTGTTGAGTGTAAACTATTGCGTAGGTGTCGGACATCTTTGGACGAATGGCTGGCTTGGACATTTTTGGACGGACAATCGACGTAAGCATTGGACATTGGACGGACTTTGGACATAGGTACGTTTTCTGAAATTGACACCACTAGTTGTTAGTATGAAGTTGAGCTCCTTGTGCTGCTATCTGGTGGACGAAACCGGTACAAGTGCTGCCATCTCACAGTGACTTTGATTTGTACGGTGCCAGCTACTAGTCATGTACCGTTGTTCATCGGCATTTAAGAAGTACCGATCCAACAACTGTCAGGCAAGTCAGAGTCTACGTTATCTCCGCATATGTAATGTCTTTTTGTCCGATTAACGTTAAAGTCGTTACCCTGTACCATTAGCGTCGCCACGGTGGACAAGCGGAGCAGCTTGCCCCCTCCCCCCCCCCCCCCCCAACCTCCGACCGGACACCTCCTGGGATCAATACCTACAGATCCGATGAGATTTTGGGGTCGGAAAAATGGGGGGTAATTGATATTGCTCTGAGAATTGCTCTGAGGTCGGACTCGGTCGCAGCCTGCGGTTCTACCGAAAGAGGGAGTCAGAGTCGCCAAAATCGCCAAGACTTCGAATCCAGACTCGCAAATTTCAATGCTTTGGTTCAATCCATGTTCCTATTTGTTTTTGTTTTGTTTTTGTTTTTTGTTACATTTTGCAGCTGATTTTCACTAGTTGTGTAAGTGCTGACGCAAAATTTTTGTTCAAAGCGTGACGCGAAATCTTCGGGGTCATGGTTCGGGGTCTTTCCTAACTCTGGTCAAATGTCTGCGGCAGGTTCAAGTCCCGTCCAAGTGCCGCAGGGCTCATGAGCTTCTCACACAGGAACTCCAATGAGCTCTAAAAGGGGATCCCACGCAAGTTCCAGAGGGCCCAAAAACCGGCCTCTGACCTCTAAGACCTTTAAAAGACATCAGATGCCAATGTGACCTCTAAAAGGTCACATGGATCTCGGAGGATGCCTTTGAAAATTTCTGAGAGCCTTACCTGACCTTTGATAGCTGAGGCGAGCTATTGAGGCGACAGATCTTGCTGACCCCAAGCCGGCATCTGAGGAGTCAGGACTCACGTGTGCCCCTGAGGGTCTCAACTCACGTTTTTTATGTCTCCGCGTGGGGTCCTTAGGATTCGAAACAGACCCTAAGGGTTCACACTGTTATCTGAGGGCTCACCCTGGTCTCCTGGTTTCTTATAGGTATCTTGGTCTCCTGGCCCCCGCCGCTAACACTAGCTTGAGGGTCCCACCTTACGCTCGGAAAGCCTAAGCCCCACATAAATGTTTGGGGTGACCCACGCTGATCTCCGGGATCTCAAGCAGGCTTCTGAGAGCTTACGCTGACACTGAGTGGCCCACAATGCAGTCTGAGGTTCCAAAGCCTGAGTCTGAGGTTCATAAGCGAATAGCGATCCATTGCCGCCATGCCGTGTGAAATTTGTGGTTCCGTATTTGTTTGCCTTTTGCAGCGCTTCCTTACACACGAAAACGGGAAAGTGTGAACAAAGTGTTCCTTCTCACTGGAGCAAAGATGAACAACTTCCGATTCACACTTAACCCGCGCGGGGCTGGGGTCTCCAGCCGAACGCGCGGGGCTGGGGGGGGGGGTAAATTTTACCCCCCCCCCCTGTTATCTCCCGAACTAATGGTCCGATTTGGAAAATTCAAACGCCAATCGAAAGATTTCATCACGAACAACTAAAAACATGTACTTAATTTAAAGTATGAGGTCAAGGTCAAGGTCAGGTCAAGGGTACAAATTGCAAGTCTCTACAGTATCGGCCTTGCACCGTAGTTGCCGAAGAATGGAGTCATGGACTGAGACTGATTGCCCAAAACGTGTTCTTAGGCTACCAAGACAATATTCGTTGCATACAATGTCATTCAGAGGTCAAGGTCAAGGTCAGGTCAGGTCAGGTCAGGTCACCAAAAACAAAATATAGAAAAGGGCATGTGCGACACATGTTTTATGAGTCATTTTACTCATAGAATTCAATAGGCACACTCAATAAGTGATATGGACCACCTCTGGATGAATTTCAGGTCGAGGTCAGGTCAAGGTCAGGTCAAGTGAGGTCAAATTTTGAAGTTGGCTGTTAAGGCATAACAAGGTGTCTATCTGATGCAGTTTTTCACGGCAAATCGAATGGTGCTATTTTTGTTTCCGTACGAGGTCTAGAACTTCCAAAAAAATCACTTTTCAAAAATTTGTGTGTCGTGACGTCATAAAATTTTGAATAAATCCCACATTTTTTAACCGATTCTTCTAAAAATTGGTATGTAGGTGCACATAGACCACTTCTCTGACATATATTCCGGTTTTTTTATACACTCAAAATTTTGGATTTTATAATTATTTTCCGAGAAAAGTCAGTTTTTTTTTTAAAATTTTGGGCCAAAATCCAAAAGTTTCAAAAAACCGAGATAGCCATTTGATAGACAAAGTAGAATTACGTATAACCTTTTTTGTTACGTCTTGATTCCTTTAAAAATGAAGATGTTAGCGGCGTTTGAAATTTTGCCGTTTTTGAGGCGAAAATGGCGAACATGACGTTACTTAAACGTCAATTTCTCAAAAATTTTCCGACGGATTTCGCTCAAATTTTCAGAGAACGTGTCACATTGATGTAAAAAAAGGTACTGAAAGTTTGGCGGCGCTGCGCGCCGCCGTTTTTGAGATATTGCAAAAATTCGCGAGGGGGGTAAAATTTACCCCCCCCCAGCCCCGCGCGGGTTAAGACAATCACTCTCCACCGAATGTCTACTTATGCTTCAATCGATGGCTGTCATAACTCATAACCCCTATGCATTTCACGTTGAAACTCTGCTTCGTGAATGAAGGTTTAATTTAAGGTGAGCCGATTGATGAGTGTTTTCAACTTACTCTGCATGAGGATTCTCAGCGTCTGCACAGGGGCCCCTCTGAGTGGGTCGGCCATCGCACCCACCATGTGCACTTATTCAACCGGTCGTTTTTTTTTGTCAAACATTTTTTCAATCCTTTATTGTTTTGTCAAAGAAAAATCCGTCAAAAATGTCTACATGTCACAGCCAGAAGATAAGCTTTGCCACCATCGCATTCCTCGCACCATGGCGCGTCGAATGATACCTATATAAAACTAGTGAGTAACGACTGGAGAGAGGCAAGATTTATCGCAAAAATTGATTTCGCCCCCCAACCCAAAATCCCTGGCGACGCGTATGCCCTGTACATAAGCCTTTCAAAATACGCCTCACAAAAATTGCCACTTAAGGGCAAAGCAGTGGAATGCCAACATCAAGTCCGGAGCAACTCCCGACCACTGTTCTAGTCTAGAGCCGTAAAACACATTGAATATTTCTAGCTTGACGATACGGATCAACTGGTGTGCAACATTTCTTTCCCCGGTCAGGTCATGAACTTGACCTCAGGTCAAATTTTCAATTTTAAGGTTAAATATACATAGTTCATTTGCCGCGCTTCATGACGAGAGAAATACTATCCAGGTAAAATGAACGTAATACCGTTGAACTTAGGTTGAATTTGAGATCACTAGGTATTCAGAAAGAGTTATAAAAAGCTATCGAATGCACTTTTTTGGCCATCAAAGATCGGTGTGCCGCCCCTATCAAATGCGAAATGCCACCTCTGATTGTTACTGCCGACCCAGTGAAAATACCTTAGAATACGCCCTGGATAAATGGCCATATCGTTTGTAATTGACCTCGGATGACCTCTTGTGACCTAAAGATTGACTCTACATCCGTAAGTATTCAAGTTATCATGATTTCCTTACAATATGAATTCGATGAAAATCGTTTGGTCTACTTACGCTAGCGCAGTGTTTAATGGGCGGTCATCCGCCCGTTCGGTAAGTTAATGCGACTTGTGCGCGCTCACCCCAACGTATGTACAAAGCTTTCAGTGACAAGCATGAAAGAGACATGCATCACGTAAGGACAAAGCTACACACGTAAATACGCCGCTGACCATGCCAGTCATGGTTTCGTTTGTAACGACGTGAGAGCCAGCCGGCAGCGTTTTCTGACCAGTGGCCATGACCGGGCGGTGGGCAGTCGGGTTTCTATAGCGGCTCGGTTCGGTCGCCTCGACACAGTCGCAGCGCCGTCGGCGTCGCTTTAGGACCGTCGGAGCCGGTTTCGAAGGTGCACGAGCGGCAGCGGCGGCGGCAGCGAGGCAGTCTGAGGTGTGCTGGTGCCGCGTCGACACCGCTCGCTCCGCGCAGCCCGCCGCTCACCGGGCCGCAGAACAGAGAGTGACGTGCGTGCAACGGTCAGTGATACCGTCCGACCCAGGCGCGTCAGAGATCAGGGGCTGATTTTACGAGTGGACCGGTCGATAACGGCATAATCGACGCACCGACGACCCTACAAGACCGACAAGTGACCGCTACCGAGCAGCGAACGACAGAAGGGCAGGTCAGTGAAAGCCACGTGAGCGAGTGCCCGTTGCGCAACGCACAGGGTCGAGGAGTGCCTGCGGAGAGGAACGGCACGAGTTCTCAGGCGCGTGCACCGTGCCCGGGCCCCTCTAACCGGTTCTCACATTCTCCACACGAGTAGCGCCCCGGGCCCGGGCGAGGCAGGCCAGACTCGAAGGCCGACAGAAGGGCGTCAAAACACGCCGACAGATACACACAGATCAATAGACAGGTACGCACGAAGTACGCACAGTGGTCGCTTTTCGCAGTGACAGAATTAGGGCACGCCTCACCTACGTGATTGGACGAGGCTAACCAATGGTTCTGGCTTTCTAGGCTAACGTAGACGTGAGTGACAAGTGCTTGGCTGCCCGCTTGTTTCGATTGTGAGAAAGCAGTACACCTGAAATGAGTTACGATGAGAAATGCCATCAAGTATCAATCGCTTTCACCAATGACATGCACCGTCAATGGTTACGGTGGAGCTACATTCTACCGTCTAAGTGTGTCCTGAATGCAACGGAGCATAAAACACTAGCATTTCATGCCTTTATTATTTGTCCCCATATGGCTAAAACGCTTAAACGAAGGGACATACACCATATGAGTTGTGAGCACTCCATAATGAACCACTCATTGTAGCACCAAACAATGTCGCCGCCACGGGACGTCAGCATGACAAGATCAAATCAGCGCACTCGTTTACCCTAAAGAGGATGAATGAAAACAAATGACCTTCGCTGACAGGACTATGTACAGGTCTCGCGAGATTAAGCGGTAGGTTTTGCACTTTTACATTTCCGGTTATATCTCAGAAACTAATCGATCTACGATGAAGCCATTTTACACGATCATGGCCGGCTTGTTACCCAACAAGTCGATCGCATCTTCAACACTTAAAAGCATAAGACGACGAAGATATAGCCTGAAGTACACTAAATTTTCTAGGTGCAAAACCTACCGCTAAAACCCGCGAGACCTGTACATGGCCAGGCTCGCTGAGCGTTTTTGTTGCTCCCTTCCGGAGGCACGACGGCTCCGCAGCTCCCTAACCCTATACCCATGACTCGAACGTCGCCCTATTACAGATAGTTCATCCCATCCTCAACGCAGACTTGGAACTCTACCAGAAACAGTGCGACTGCGATCAGATCCCGACCAAACAGCGTTGAAAAAAATATGTGGTGCCATGTAGCCCAGCAATGTACTATAGTTAAATAAATCTGCAAATTTCAAATGCTTAATAGATTTAAGCATTAGATAAGCCGACGATATAGGTAGGAACTTGAGAAGCGTGTAAAAGGCCTCATAAAAATGCAAGAGATTGTGGTGCAAACATAAAGGATCTAGTCAAAGCTCATGAGTCATGATGAACAGCAGCGATTAAAGACAACTGAGAAATAAGCTAGATATTAAAATATGTAGGCTGTAGCAAACTGTGCGGTTCCCATCGTTCTTCAATGACACCCGCTGGTCTGGACAAAATTAAGGACAGAAGTCGATTATTGATCAGTCAGCTAGCGCAAGCAGAGCGAAGCTTCCACCCATCATTGACAAGGTAAAAGAGCTAACAAATCGCAACAGTAAAAGCCAACAACATCACTTCGCGGCGACGAAAAGATTGCACAAAGGAACAAATCTGTATCACCGTTCGTTTGTCGTCACAGATCAAAAACTTTTCTTTCTTCAATTGTTTTACTTCTCCGTTCGTAACAAGCGGAAATTCAAAGCACGCTGCCACTAATATTAGCATGTATGATGTCTCACCAGATGCATCACGCTCACATCAGGCATGACAATGGGCAGAGCATGTCATGCAGCTCCGCACTGCATCGCATGCAAAGCGGCCATTGAAGGAGAGTCACGACAGCGAATTATGCAGTTCGCGGACACCAGTTAAAATGCCTTCTGCCCGTGGGCATAATATACATAACTGGTCCTAGGCCTAAGAAATGTGGATGTTCTTTTACCTTGCAAACCAGAGTTGTGACATTTTCGTCTCACCGTGCGCTAACTACCTTATTTAGAGCAAGAGATGATCCTGTTCTGCTCTGTGGGCCGGGGTTGCGTGTCACTGTGAGCTAGAGATCAGTCAGATTTGTTGTATGGTGATTGGTGAGCCAAAGGTGAGCCGGCGACTAAACTGTTCGTGCCGCGGGAGCCAGCTGCCGTCCCGCGGCCTGACGTGGGCAGGACGGAGAGACGCATGCTGTGACCCTGGCGACTGCGAAGAACGTATACAATAGCGCATACATGCCTGATGTATGCATATTGCATATTGCTTACATGCATGTGTACATACATATGTAAATGTGCTCTTAAGCCCTCGAGTGAAACCCTTTTCTGATAATACGTTAGTGGTTGATTATAACAGTCCAACCGCTCCTGGATACCAGCTGACTGCATATGTACACCGGGTCCGTCCCGAGCCGTTCCGTCGCCCGCCGCGCGGAATCACGCCGACCTGGCTCGTGACACGGTCACAACTGGTTCGCGTGCACCGCGTGGTACATCAGTCACGAACGGTGCAGTGCACGGTAGGCGTGTGCACAACAGCATGACCTCGTCAGCGACCGGTCTGTGAAGGCCGACGGCGCCTCCACAGCTCTGTGCAGCTGCACCGGCGCTTCGACCGGCGCTCGAGAAATACAAACAATTCTCCAAGCGCCGCTGGCCAGTAACTTATCATTTGATGCCTTTGCATGGCAATATGATATATGCACCCATCATAAAATCAGATCTATTTGTCGTCGATTTTCATATCGATCGAGCATGTGGTAGAAGAGCTATGGCGAAATACAATTGATGGGCTTTCATCTTTCGTGCTTACAAGTAAGAGCGTCAGCTGTCGAGGCAAACGGCACGAGAAGCAGGAGGGCTCAGGTTGGCCGTACCAAGGCTCGACACAATGCCACATTAGTCGAAATTTCCCTCATTACCTATCCTTGCATAGCGATGAATTGCCATTAGTTGCAATCCTAATCCGGAACATCGTTGCTATGCTATCGCAATACCTATGTCTCTTCATATTCGATGCAAATCTCTCAACGTAAAACAATGGACAGGTTTACGCATCATGAATGGTAGCTGCAAAGATCTTCTCTGTGTAGCACGCAGCAGGTTCTTAGATGCATGTAGGTAGGCATGCCTAATGACAGCATTTTCTGTGAAAATTGTGGAATAGTGACTTTGCCATTGTATTGTCAGTGTCTGTGAGAAAAAACAAAAAATGAACACACAAATCGTCAATTATTAACAAAAAATACAGAGGTGTATCATAACCCTCGCTCCGCTGGGGGGGAGGGGCCAATTTGCCCCTCCCCCCCCCCCTGTGGCTTTTTCCTGAATAGCAAGAAAACGGCGGCGGCGCGCAGCGCCGCCATATTTTCAGTACCTTCCCGGGCATCAATTCGACACCTTCACACAAAATTTCAAGTCTTAGGTCACCTTAGGTCAGGAGTTATTGAGGTCAAGCTGAGGTCATATTCGAGCAAAAATGAGCAAAAGACATGAAATCTTCAAACGCTCACAAAAGCTACAGTTACTAAGCAATTTCAGAGTTATTTGTATGGTCATGTAGACAAAAGACAGCGCTACAAAACTGCTGTCTCGGATTTTCAAAATTTTGGGATTTTGACCCCCAAAAATTCCAAAAAGGATTTTTTTTTGAAAAACGCAAAAAATCCCAAAAAAATTCCGAATTTAAAAAAACGGAATACCTATATGTGATAGTCCCTGCGCTCTTCTATATACATACCAAATTTAAAATCGATACCTCCTTTTATGGCCAAGTTATAGCGGAAAAAAACTGTTCAAAATTAATGACGTCATATTTTTAGCTCAATTTTTAGCAATTCTAGACCACGTAGCGCAAAACAAAAACCACCATTGAACTCCCCATGACGAGCTGCATCGAATTGATACCCATTTTATGCAAAAATATCAACTTTGAAATTTGACCTAATTTGACCTGACCTTAACCTGACCTTGACCTAGCCTTCATCGGAACATAATCTAAACTGACCCCAAAGGCTGCCTGACCAACATAATCGTATTTGGCATATAAAATGGACCATAAAACATGCATCACATGGTATTTTCATATTGTGACCCTCAGTGACCTGACCTCTGTGACCTGACCTGGTATCAGTGACCTCAAATAGCAAAATATGTGTTTGACGAACATTTCCCCATCGATGATTTTCAATGAAATGCATTTTACTCGATTTTACAACGCATTTCTTGAAATGCCTGTAAACGGTGAAAATTCGACATTTGACCTGACCTGTGACGTCATCGGTTTGACCTAGGTCAATAAAATTGGGTCACAAGGTACCTAGTTCCCTGTTGGGGATATCCAACACCGTTTGCCGCTTGTCGCCATGTTGCGTGGTTCTCGAGATCTTAGGGGGGGGGGCTAAATTGCCCCCCCCCCCAGCAGGGCGCGTTGCTCGGCAGACCCCAGCGGGGCACGGGTTAGATGAGAGCTTATACTATCAGGGTAATGAATAAAGATGCAAGTTACAAAGCCGTCCCGCAGCTTACAGACAATCCCCTCTCAAAGCGGGAGAGGATGCAGCACGGGTGGCAGGTGCTGGGCACTACTCACCTGTTTCTGCATTGGCAACTGTAGGCCGGATAGCACGTCAGGACGCTATCTACTTTCGACACTGATATATGTGTCCTTGCAGAGATGCATGTGAAGTAATCGGCAGGATTTCGCAACGGTCGTGTACGCCACCTGAATGCACATGCAACTGTTAAACAGGACGGCTGATGCCGTCCTTGGGTTACCGAGCCACCTACTCACTTCAAAGCAATGCTGTATTCAGCAATCCTGTACCATGGCAGACGGTTTATTTTAATTGTGAGACGTGCTATGAAACATAATATACCTATCCGTTATTTATGTAGATATTTACCTACAATTTCGAGACATTCGGGACGTCTCGAATCGAATCGACCTGACACCCGTATTTACGCGACAAAGCCCTTGAGATAGACATGCGAGACAAAACTTTTTGGCGTCATTTCCCACCGAGTGTCCTAGTGAGGTCAGCAAAGGTCAGGGACCCGAAATTTGCACAACAAAATGTGATCAAAAGTCAGTTGTGGTCCATTTTGAGAAAAGCCTGGCACAGCACATCTTTACTATTGTTATATGCCAAAATGTTCAACTAAATCGGATCATGTCTCGTTGGGCTACTTTTATCGAGTTCCCAACACATGAGTGTCAGCGATGCATCGCTGGCGCGATGGCTTAGCCAACGCTCTGTCCACACTCCACGCCGTTGCTCCCATTGCCTTCGTTTAACCCCACCCAACGTAACCCCTCATTTACAACTGAATGACACCTATACAATCATGCAACACCTATGTAGTAAAGCTGCAGCGCGATACCTGAGCTGCAGCGCCATGTTTCCGCCGCAGGTGCGCCACGATGGGCGTTCGGCCGACGTTCGGGCTGGTCGACTACTGCGTGTTCGGCGCCACGCTGCTGCTCTCGCTGCTGATCGGCGTCTACCATGCGGTGCGCGGCAAACAGACAAACGAGGACCTGCTGTTGGGCGGCCGCAGCATGTCCGTGCTGCCCGTGGCCGTCTCCATCATGGTCAGCTTCCTATCGGCCATCCTCATCCTCGGTGAGCAAAGGAAGGACTTGCAAATGATGTGAAGAATGGTATGCATAGAATAAACCCTATGAAACGGTCGTATACTGCAGTTTTCAGACTATTGTCAGTATGCATTTTACATTTGTACCTGCCTTTACACTTGCTTTTAGATCAGATCGAAAAAGAAACAAGTGAAGTGGAGCTGGTCATTGAATTGCAATTTGCATTGCATTGCGCACACACGTCGTCGCACTACATATAAACGCGACCTACCCGTAGAATTCTCAAAAGGCATAGCTGAGCTACCCTGTCACTCTGCAGGGTCGCCGGCTGAGATGTACATGAACGGCGTGCAGTACTGGATCTGCAACACGGCCTTCTTCGTCATCCTGCCGGCCGTCGCCTACCTGTTCCTGCCCATCTTCTACCGGTGCGGGGTCACCTCTGTGTACGAGTACCTCCACTATCGGTGAGTCAGCTAAACCGAGCACTTGTCGCACACCGCGACGGGTTCTATGACTCTGCAGTCCCACCAAACCAGCATTGGCGAGAGGCTAAAACGCAGAGTCGCGTCACGCATCAGTTCAACAGCACTGTCCGGCGCTGAAAGTCAAACGCTTTCACAAACAACGCCGCACCTCAGACATCATCGTGCTAGCCATTTTTATATGTTTTCTATGGTTTAATAAGGAAAATCAAGGCTCACATCTAATGCTTCTGAGAGCTGGTTTCAAACAGGTATACCTATGCTCAGTTAAAAATTTTAATTTACATTTCTGACAAAGATATTCCAAAGTCATATTTATGACGTACGTACCTAGTCGTTCCAACAGTCTCCAGTCTCCACTCGCCCCTGAGTCGTGCCGCTGCGCCGCAGGTTCGACAACCGTCTGCTGCGGACGCTGTGTGTGCTGGTGTACCTGGTGCGCACCTCGCTGTACATGGCCATCGCGCTGTACGCGCCCAGCCTGGCGCTCAGTTTCGTCACCGGCCTGCCGCTGTGGATCGCCATCGTCGGCTCGGCGGCCGTCGGCACACTCTACACCGCCTTCGTGAGTAAATAAGCCGTGAACACGACCTTCCTGTGCAGTGAACATCTCTCCCTCTACACCGCCTTCGTGAGTACAGCCTGAAACACCAACTTGGAGAGTAGAACCCTCTACACCTCCTCCGTGAGTACATTGAACACCATTTCCTGTACACAACTGCCTGCGGAACCCTCTACACCGCCTTAGTAAGTAAGGCCCTGTACACCGTTTTCGTGAGTACTGTCACCATCTGATCGTCCCATGGTCCGTAATCGGCAAGCTTCAACGCTCGACGTAACTGGTTAGAAAGAACTGCAAATTTCCTTTTAACATGTCTTCTGCCCATACCGGATATACATACACCCCACAACAAACATTATGTTGGAATTCTCTGTCGGAAGCTCCTGACGTATATCCCACAGTCCTCCACTTCGTTCTGACCAAGTGACTTATGCCTCACGGTCCTACACAGAGTTCTGATGGAAGCTGGCCTGCTGACGTTTGTCCACGGTCCTCCAGGGCGGTCTAAAGGCGGTGGTGTGGGCCGACGTCCTCCAAGCAGCCATCATGGCCGCCGGAATGATCGCCATGATTGTCCAGGGAGCCATCAACGTCGGGGGCTTCACAAACATATTTACAATTAACGCCGAACATCAAAGAATGACATTCTTCGACTTCACCTTGAATCCGTGGCAAAGGTGAGCATAAATCTTACATCGCATCGTCACAAATCATATAAAAGGCCGTCTCCGTAAATGTTGGTTGTCTCTTTCAAATTGCGATAAATAAAACACCACCAAGTAAATTGTGTAAATGTTGTGTTATTAACGATTTGTGATGTGATCAGATGTAACGAAAAAGGGACTGCGATCTATGAAGTAAGCATTTTTTTATTTAATTACGCAACTGACCATCAATTTACAGTAAAGCCTTAGGCACGCGATAAGCAACAGATATATCCAGCTGAAGACGCTACAATGATCTTTTTTCGCTTTAAACGAAGCCAATCATGCATGACAGTGAATCGTCAGACTTGTCACACGATCCGGATCGCGTGTTTCGTCGGCAGGCACAACTTCTGGAGCCTGTTCTTCGGCACGCTGTTCCTGTGGACGACCGTGTTCGGGGTGAACCAGACGTCCATCCAGCGCTACATCAGCCTGCCCACCCTGAAGGCGGCGCGCATGTGAGTATGGCACAACCGTAACCGTCTGCTCAACACGGCCGGTGAACAATTGCTTGATTATCATTTGGTTATCAATCAATTTTGTTTTATTGGTTATACAATGTAGTTCCAATTTTGTTAGTTTTAGTTCTTTTTTAGGTAATTTAGTTTTGGTGAAATAAATAAAGGACACAAGGGATGTCCAGTTTCCTGCAATATCATCTAAAATCTCATCGATTGATTATCGGTTATTATCGGTACCCGATTATCGGACAAATATAATGAAACGGCATTCTTAAAGAAATTTGACTTCGAGAATGACCTCGACTTAAAAAAAAAAACAATGATCCACCGAGCAGCTTATGTTTCCAAAACCACATGAATTTATTGAATAAAGCTATCAAGATGCACGATAATTGCACTGTACAGTGTCCCGCCTGTCCATCCGGCCTGCTATCCGACGTCTCCTTGGTTGACCCGTGCCGGTCGGGTCCCCCAACCGCAGACGGAGGTAAACCGACAACCGGTTCCCGGCGTGCGCCCTTATCTGTCGGCGGTAATGCTCTTTTGAGATGCTAGAAACTGGTTTTTAATCACATCTCAACAGACTAACAGTTTATTGATAACAGAAATAAACAGTTTTTGGGTATAGAGCTGGCACATACCTAATGATCATATTTAAATATGCTAATGTTAATATTTTCTTGGAATTCCGAATAAAAGCCGTCCCCGGTGAGAATCAGGGTCTTTAATTGTCCGGTTTCCTTGCTAAGCTTAGCGTCTGCCTGAGAAGCCTGGTAGTATTCAGAAACTGCGAAGACCGGTTTGTTATGACCGGCAGCGGTCGCAGGGGCAGGCATTCCCGTCCGGTCTGGTCCGACGGTGGTGGAAGGTGCAGAGCTGGATCTGGGTCAGGTGCGGCCGGCACACGGGGCAGGGTCGTGTCGGCACGGCGGCACGGCACCGGTGCAGGCCGCAGCCGAAACTCACCGCCGCGCCGGCTGGCCTAAGCTATGGGTTTATCAGAAGCAATGGCAAAATAACTGACACCATAACAACGATGGTTCAGTGGCTCATTCCACCAAGACGCCAGATTTATGTAGATCAAAGTGACAAAGCTGAAGGAATGGATAACTTACATGTGCACAATAAAGCAAAAGCCCTAAATACAAAAATGTCTAACTTCGAAAAAGTTATAAAGACGAGATGAATTTCAGGCTGACTATGAAAATCTTTAAGGTGCTCTATCGGGTCAGCTAATTTATAGGGTAAACGGCACTAGTTGCACTTTTTATAGACACCTTTCTAGCACACGAGGACGCTGGAGTGGCTCACCTATGGCACATCCAGCCAGTTGACTTGCTGGCCATTATCTGACCTCGAGTCACACGACCCTTCGGCCTGCAGCAGCCGGCATTAATTCCGTATACCGCAGGCCATCCAGTGGTTCGTGGAAGACCCCCGTAAGACCCGTAGGTATGTAGCAATGGCACAGCACTTCTTATATACATTATACAGCAATCCGTCAAACTAATGCGTCCAATGCTAGATGCACGCAGCCATGATACGCGTATATTCCCAGCCAAAGTGCCGAACACGCGGTAGATTAGTGACGGTTTATTTGATATCTGCTGTGAATACATTCACAAGCGCATCGATGAGAGTGTTAAACATCAATCATAGGTGGAAATGAGTAACTGGCCCGTCACGTTATGATTTAGTGAGCCTGAAGGCCGGGACCCTCATTACTGACACCAACCATATGTAGAGTCAGCCTATGATTAATGATTAGGTATGGTGTTTAGAGTTCAGCCAGGGTGCACTGTCCGCGTGCACTGTGCACTTGGTGCTTTTGGCATTACCTGCGTAGCTACCCTTTGACACATGCCCGCAGTCGAACTGTGCGTGATATCATTCCGAAATTCGATGCCACGTTTTCACCTTGCACCCAAGGCCATCCTGCACCAAGAGATGTAGGTATCTCTTGGATGTGTGTGCGGTGTGCCTGTGGCCCTGTCCGTTGAACGTCCCCGCCCTCCGACAGTGCGTGTTAGTCTGCTGAACACACCCGCTCCCTTAGACAGTGCTGTCTGGTGACCGTCTCTTTTCCTACGACAAATGCACTGACTCCCGAATGTCCCCCTCTCGCCTCCGCCAGTGTCTCTCTGCTGAACGAACATCTCCCCTCCTGCCTCCGCCAGTGCCTGCCTGCTGACCCCCACCTCCACCTTAGTCAGGGGAAGGAGGCCCAATTTTGGGCCGAATAACGCAAAATTGGGTAGAGCTTAGCAAAGGGTGGTTTCTGGGACAAAAATGACCGCTGAATCCGAATCTGACCGGTGCGCACCTGTAACGAATGTTGCACCACTTCCAGAGCACGTGCAACTGTGTGGTTCTTCTTTTTTGAAGAATGGTATCCTTTTTATATATTTAAAAATAAAATTAGTCGTGTAGTTGTGTTGTCCTCTAACACTTTAATATTATAGCCAAAATTCATTGCATAAATGAAAATCCTAGTTAACGGATATCGCAGACAATCTATGACGTCACTGTGACGTCATTTATTCGTAAACTGACGGGAAAATGAGGTGTGACAACAAAACATTTAACTTTATTCACGGGATACGCTCATTGGCGGGTTTTAAATGCATTGAGCATGCTCAGAAAATATCTCCCCGTTCAAAAAGTAAAAATCGTCTGGATGGAGGTACCATTTTGGCCGACAGGGGGCGAAATCCGCGGAGTGTGCGTTTTTACCCCAAATAGTTTTTGTGCAATAACTTTTGATACAATGCTTCCATGTCGTCCATTTTACCATCGTTGTGATTCTCTCACCGAGACGCATCGACTAGTATGCAAATTGGCTTCGATTGGTTAAGATTACATTTTACCGCAGTTCATGAGCTCAGGTCGATAATCACGCTAGTGAAGGTTATGACCTTACTGGAAATGGTCATGTAGTTTACCAATTGCTTTGGATTATCAAGAAAATCGCATGGAAAATGCTTTCATTGTTCTTATGTGGTTTGATCAAAAGCTATAGCTGAAAAAACTGCTGATGACGTTTTCAGGACGTCATATGACAAAATTCAAAGGTAGGTATAGAAGTCGTTTATATATGTATTGGCGCCGCAAAGCATTCGTAAGGCATGCAGTATGCTTGTGAGATTTTAGAATTAGATGTGTGCTTAACAGGCGTAGTTTTAGTTCATTACGTTGGCATACGTACAGCCCACCGCAAAAGTAATGTAGGGTTTTACCAATCTCAACGGTTGGCTTTGACTGGCGATTGTTTAATGCGGAGTGATCGAAAAGAAGATGTCAATAGCTAAAGTTGCAGCTGCAAGGGTGACGATACATATAAGCTACATTCAAAGTTTCATTGTAGTCTGGTTAATCGTTCCTAAGCTTCAGAAGCAGAACATACCCATAACTGAAACCCCACATTACTTCTGCTTCTACTGTGGACTGTACCTAATAAGGTGGGCGAAAATTTCGTCACAGAGGGTTTCACATGTGTTATGTCCCAAGTTCTAATTAATGTCTTGTGGTTATTCATGTTTTTAGACGCCACACCCGAGCATTGAAGAACACGTAACAACTAAACGGAGAGAATTTGATTCTGGTTGGTTGTATTTATCTCTTCTGGTATAAATATACACACACACGCACAGGCGAACACACATAATGTAGCACGGCTACTATCAGGAGGCGTTCGGCTGCCGGCCGCCGGCACGGTGACTGTGCACCCTGGGCGGTGGCCTTCGCCCAGGACTTCTGCCTCGTCCATCCAGCGGACGCGTCCCAGCCGGTACGTGAACCAGCCGCCAACCAGCCGGTACGTGAAGTCGTCGGCCAGGTCGACGGAGCAGAGCGACTGGTCGTTCTCGACCGCAGGACTCGGATAGATGCGCCTGTTCCGATGCGTCAGCCTGCTCTCCCTTCTTCTTCTTCCGCGCACTGCCGGCCGTGCCCTAGGGCGCGGCAGACCGGGGCTGGTCCACAGGTGGCGTGGTCCACCCCACTCGGTCGAGGAACTCCGTGACGTATTTAGCCGGCCCCGAGAGCACATCCTAGAGGGTGGGGAGCGGCCCCCAGAGCCGTGTTCGCGTTCTTGTGCGGCCGGGCACTCGCATAGCAGGTGCGCGACCGTGTCCTCTTCGCCGCACTGTCCTCTTGTCACTGTCCGCACTGTCACTGTGTCCTCTTCGCCGATAGCTCTGCCCCGGCCGCGGCAGATTGCAAGAGAGCCCAGATGCCCTGTGTCAGGGCCGATTCCTGCGCTGCCGGGCCTCGGCTGAGCAGTTGGAGGCCGGACAGGGAGTCCGAGCAGAGCAGGACAGACCGAATGGCAGCGATGGATGGCTTCGGCAGTCCCAGGAAACATTTTAACGCCTCCGCCATCGCCGCCAGCTCCGCCTGCATGCTACTTCATACGAGTTCTGCCGGTACGGTACATTCGATCTTGCGCCTCTCACGGTGCAGAGGAGGGCTCCTCCACCGCCTTTCTTGGTACCGTCTAGGGCAGAGCCAGCAGACCAGATTGTGAGGTCTGGATTTGGGTAAGCGGCCAGGGCCTCCAGGGTTGCAGCCTTCCGTAATTCTGGTGGGTTCTTGGTAGCTTTCGGAAGCTTCAAGCCGAAGTCGACGTTGGTGTTGCACTGCTTCCATGGCGGTTCTCCCTGGTGCAGTGTTAGTGGGGCTACGGGCACTCCACCCAGTCCAGCTTCCTCGCACACCCACTTCCCCACTCGTCGGAAACAGGGTCGATGCTGGAGGCCAGCAACGTCCTCATCTTGCGGCGACGGCGCCGGTACTTCCACCTCCTGGGCTTCCTGTTTCTTCCGCATCCAATGAAGGTGGGCTCTGTACTGCAGTCTAGGTGGCGGTGTCTTATCAATGAGCTTCCGAGCGGGATCGTCCGGAGGGAGTCGCGTCAGGCGTCCATACTCCCGGCCTGCCAGCTCCTTGGCCCGTACTGCCAGCTCCGGCCCTCCCTTCTCCAGCAGCCGCATGCAGGTACTATTCAATCTCTTTTGGACTCAGACGGGCGAGTTGGGAGAGCTCCATATTCAGCTCGTCGTGCCCGTCATCATCAATCTGCAGCTTTGTCTAAAACGATTCCATGTGTGTTCCAAGAACATCTGATAGTGTCGAGCCGCATGCATGTTGAAGGTGTCACCAAGCTTCAACTTTATAGGGCCATCATGAATCCATGCTCCTTTGGTACAAATGAATTTTCACTTGCAATATAGTCCCAAGAAAATGCACTTCACACAAAACAGGTTTACGAGGAGGCATTCGGTTGTCAGATCATTTTTGTAGGTACTGTTTTGTACCTGCATCGTCTATCGTGTGGTCTCGCTTCGATCTTAGATTGTTGTCCTCAAATATCCAAGATATTTCACTTTCTTATAAAAGGTGATTTTTGCCCTTTTTGATAAACAACAGCTGTTTATTTTCTTTCCCAGTCTTCATGACAAGCACAATTCTGGATCATTTTTTATCGCTTGTTAAACGCGCGTAACGACTCAGGCTGAACCCACGCTGACTTTCCGTTATTCATAGGAATGGATATTTCCATGAAATAATTAAAAAATTATACAATTTGAACTATAAATAAGACCAAAGGAACGATATTTAGTCAATGCAACGCCAACAGCATTTTGATTTAAATGCCGTCGCAGCGCCAGAACACGGTAAAAATGATATAAAAATACCCTGTTTCACGTGATTTATCAATCTGCTGTACTACTTCATCCAGTTTGACCAAATCTGTCAGGTGGTGACTTGGACTGTCACATTCTTAACGTGACTCACATGTACCTCTGCAAAAACGATTTTAGCATGATCCAACTCAGAAATGTTCATAGATCATGTTTGATTATTTTCCCTTCTCTGATTTGCATACGACGGGAATAAAGTTAAATGCTTTAAGGACAAGACGACTTTTTCAACTCATTTATAGGTAAATGACGTCACGGTGACGTCACCGGCTGCCCGAACATTGCATAACTTCAGCTTTCAATTACGTCATGTGTTTTAAGCACACGGAGAAAATATCAAAACAATATCTCAAATATCAACGACGTTACACTGAAATTCATTAAAAAGGTACCATTCTAAAAAAAAGATGAACCACGCAGTTGCACGTGCTCTGGAAGTGGTGCAACATTCGTTACAGGTGCGCACCGGTCAGATTCGGGTTCAGCGGTCATTTTTGTCCCAGAAACCACCGTTTGCTAAGCTCTACCCAATTTTGCGTTATTCGGCCCAAAATTGGGCCTCCTTCCCCTGACTACCTCCCTCCTTCCCTCCCACAGCGCCTGCCTGCTGAACGCGCCGGCCACGGTGCTGTACACTACGCTAGCCTGTCTCACCGGGCTGGCCATCTTCGCCACGTACGCCGACTGTGACCCGCTCAAGGTCGGACTCGTCGAGAAAAAGGACCAGGTGAGAATGAGCAGATTAAAGAAGATGGACAATGGGCACTTGACCAGTAAGAATGAAAAATGCCACCTGAGAAATCAGATGGGTAAGAAATGGCCACCGGCCCACCGACCAGCCGGCCTGATGGGACACCTAAGGACAGCACATTCCTTTTTAAGGATTAACCCGCGCATGACTGGGGTATTTTCCATAACGCGAGTGACTGGGGGGGGGGGCTCTCCAGAGCCCCCCCCCCTCCTATCTCCGAAACTACTGGGCCGATCGTCAAAATTCAAGCGGCGTCTGATAGCCCTGGAAAAACTGTCGAGCGAAACCTATTTTCATTGACCTCGAGGTCACCGATGACGTCACAGGTCAGGTCAAAGAAAAAATTATCGACATTTTTGTTAGTTCACAATTTAGGCTCTGACCGCCGGACCGCCGGTCCGATCAGGCTCATTTTTGGTTTACGCACTCCTTGACGGATGCCTTAGATACCCTGAGGGTACCGAACTTTTACTTCGAATTTTTAAGGTCAAGGCCAGGTCATCCTAGGTCACGAAAGTTGTATATCATGTATCGGTCACGTGACGCATGTTTTATGGTCCATTTTACTCGAAGATTTCGAAAATAGTGTCGTCTGTGTCATTTGAGGTCATTGTCAGCTGAATTTACCGGAGGTCAGGTCACTTTCAGGTCAGAACAGGTCAAATTTTGAAAATGAAATTTTTCAACAAAAAAAGGTGCCTATCAGATGCAGTTTGAGCTCAGAAACACGATGGTGCCATTTATGTTGCTGTACGACGTCAAAAACGTACTGAAAAATGGATTTGAAAAAAACAGAAAATTGTAAAATTTTGACAATAGTGCGAATAACTTGGCTATTTTTGAAGATATTGGGCTAAAACTTGCAAATGTAGTTCATCAGTGTGTGTTCTATCACATATATGCCGGTTTTTAAGAAAAGTCAAAAACTTTTTGAAAAAAATCAAAAAATATATTTTTGTAATTGTAAATGTATATTTTTCAAAATTTTCAAAATTTCGAAAATTCGAGATAGCAGTTCGATAGCTACGTGTATTTGTAGTCCACCCATGCAAATAAAATGGATCTAGCCTTAAAACTAAGCTCTTGAGAGCGTTTGCCGTATTTCAGTATTTAGCATGAAAATCGGCCGACATGACGTCACTCTGACGTCATTTCCGGCTAAACTATGGTAGCTAGAAAGTTGAAATTTTAACACAAGGTGTCAAATTGATGCCTTTGAGGGTACCGCAAGTTTCGTGTTGATCCGTCAAACGGTTTAGAAGATATCGCTGAAAAACATGAGGGGGGCTCTGTAGAGCCCCCCCTCCCAGTCATGCGCGGGTTAACTCATTAAACTCCAAAGTCCATATCACATTATGCCGGATTATTGTTGATAATCAAAACGAATTTGTACCCATTGACCCCCGGAATAGGCACATTTCATGTGCTCACTGAGAGATAGCGACATAATTGATGTCATTTGAGACATTTAAAAGTCATCATTGACCGCCTGAAGTGCTGACATCCGCCACTTATTGCGCTGACAGAAACTCCGTTCCGATACATGATAATGTGTTTTGTTCTCGTTTGCAGCTGGTGCCGTATTTCGTGTTGGACCAGATGTCCTACCTCACCGGCCTACCGGGACTGTTTGTGGCCTGCATCATGTCGGGAGCTCTCAGCACCATTTCGTCAGGACTCAACTCACTGGCTGCAATCACGTGGCAGGACTTCATCAGCAACATAGCGATGTTCCAGAACATGACAGAAGTCGCCAAGTCATGGGTGACTCGCATTATCAGTAAGCGATTTCAGTTCCATGGTGTTTATTACTCTTCGAGAGACTTTGACCTTCTCGTTTAAATTCATGATTTGTGCATCAGCTTTTGTTGTTTTGAACATGATTGATCATTGCAGATGCTGATTGCTGATTGAACTGCTTAGTCACTATCACTGGCGCAGCTTTTTCATGCATAGGCAATAAATTCAAACAGCGTCTGCATGACTGACGCAATGAAACATCTAGGTACGACAACCCAGTGACACACACGTACGTAAACATAATAAAGATACGGGATGATGGTGCTCATCCCTGTCCCGTTGTGCACACAGCTCTGCCGCACCAGACCTGGCACTCACCCTGCCCCACTGTTCGGTGTTCTCCCTAGTCTCCTAACGCCCACCTCTGTCCATCTGTGTCCCCAGGTCTGCTGTATGGAGTCATGGCCGTGGGCCTGGCGTTCCTGGTCAGCAAGTTCGGCGGTGTGCTACAGGCCTCGCTGGCCATCAATGGCGCCCTCAGCGGACCCGTTCTCGGAGTGTTCTCGCTGGGATTATTCATACCCTTCGCCAACGGCAAGGTGCATCTGTCATGTCACCACACCTATGACATTTATTCTTCCATTTTGTATGGCTATATCTCGCTCACCAAAGTTTCTGAACATAATTTGCAAGCCCTTCAGATACGCATAAAGTTGTTTTAACCCTCGCACGACCAGGCCATTTCTCATAACACGAACGACCAGGGGGGGGGGGGGGGTTGTTACGACCCCCCCCCCTGGCGTTTCGAAACGGAAGGTCGTAGAGCTTAGCGGAAAAACCAACGGATTGCTCTCAACGAGATCTCGCGATTGGTGGTATATTTTTTGGTCCTAGGTCAACATTTGACCTACTTATGACCGGTCAAAGGTCAAATTTTCGGAAAAATCTAACTTTTTCAGATTTCCGCGCCGATTGCGGCAAAACGGTAAGAGATATCGACTTGAAACCTTCACTATCGTGATCCTTGATCAATTCTCTATCGTTTGGTGCGTATTTCGATGTCATAACTCTAAAAATGATGCGTTGGGAGCATCGGAAGTCTGCAAGGTCATTTGTGCATTGGGTCACGTCAGGCGTGTGACGTCATTGACCTGACCCTGACCCAAAATGAACTACAAGAAACAACCGACGATGCCTGAAATGGATAGCAAATTCGAATTCAGGGCATCAAAATACCCCGAAAAGGCATACAAGTGCAAGAAGTCATTACAGGTCAACCGAGGTCACTGACCTGACCTTGACCTTTAGTAACCTTGAAAAGGTCAACGGACATTGTGCCAATGTCAAATCAGCCAGTTATGGTTCTAAAACAATCCATCAGTGTGTCAGGTCAGTCGGCATTTATACCAATGTGAAGCAATCTCCAATTTAGCGTAAATCTGGCCGGAGGTTGTTCCCTTTATGACGTCATAACTCCGTGACCTGACATGACCCGATCAATTTTTTTCGGCAAAAGATGCGCAAAGGTTGCCCCAGAGGGTATTGAAAATTTCAGCCCGCTACGACAAGCCGTTTAGCGTGCACTTCGAAAAAACCTCAGGGGGGGGGGGGGTTGATACAACCCCCCCCTAGGCGTTCTAGGGTTAAAAACTTCCAAATATGTCAATAGTAAGACTAATTCTTCCCCTTTTCTGAATAAAATCGCGCTGAGATGCCCGCTGACCGGTGACCGTCTGTGTCGGCAGGGCGCCGTCGTCGGCATGCTGTCGGCCAGCGCCCTCAGCATGTGGGCAGTGTTCGGCGCGTACGGCTCCGGGAAGCGACCTGCCCCCCTGCCGACCTCGACTGCCGGCTGTAACGTGACGGCCCTGTCACTGAGCACGCCACTGCCGACCGAGCTGACCACACCGGTACCCACCGGCCTGCCCGAGGAGGATAGGTGAGGGAGGATGTGGTGACCTGACCTGACCTTGACGATACCGGCACCCACTGCAGGCTGGGGAGGATAGGTGAGGGAAGGACTGGATGACCTGACCCGTGACCTTTACTACCCTGGCACCCATGGGACAGCCCGAGGAGGATAGGTGAGGGGAGGGCGGGATGACCTGACCTGACCTTGACCACCCTGGCACCCACGAGCCTGCCCGAGAGGATAGGTGAGGGGAGGATGGGACGACGGCCATCGTCTAGCCAAAACGGGACAGGTCATGGCACCGTTCAATATTCAATGTCACACTCCCGCCAGGAGCTTTATCACATGTGCTTATCCGTTTTCTGTGTCTTGGTGTCGCTTGGTCAGAGGTGTCATCTCTGATAAATTAATGAGCAATAAAATAGGTAGGTAATCATACAAACCCACCAGGAATTTAATCATAGCTTCATACTGAGGGAAGAAACTTAGTTTCGTTTAGTTTATTTCACAATCATCCACAGGCACAAACCCAGTTACGGACGAAGTCGTATGTGTAAAACGAAAGGATGGCCTGACAGGTCATCCTTTCGGTCAGGTCATTACAGAAGCTTATCAAAGTATTGTCGCCCGGTGCTGGCCAGTCCTGTGACTTATCGCCCTCTGTTTTCAGCTGGATCGACCAGTACGTGTACGGCATTTCGTACCAGCTCTACAACATGCTCGGCTGCCTACTGTGCGTCATCATCGGGTCCATCGTCAGCCTTCTCACAGGTCCGTAAACAAAATAACCTCTGGGCTCTGAGAATGTCATGCGTTCGCAAATGTGTTCAACTGTATGTACGCATTAGAGAACCTGTTCAATGTTTATCTCATCAGTATGACAAAGCTAAACGTCAGCAGGCCTGACCAGAGTGGTGAATTGGCGCTGTTTGCAGGCTGCAACGACCGGGAGGTGAACAAGAGTCTGGTGAACCCGCTGGCGTACAAACTGCTCAACTGGGTCAACTGCTGCCGAAGAGACTCCTCGGACGCCAAGTACGCCGCCGATAACCCCATCTTCACCATGTCCACCTACAAGCAGACGGCGGCGGACTGAGGGCTGTATTATCGCGCAGTTTTGCAGAGCGTGGACATCCCGGCTCAGTCAGTGAGCCGGCTGCCCTGCAGGTGCCGCGCTCAGCGTCACACAGGTGGCAGCGGCGTCTGCTGGGATCGCTCGGGCGTCCTGCGAGGGACCGAGCTGCGCCGCTCGCTGATCGACTTGGGTCGGATCAGTCGCTTTTTGATATTTTATCTTTTATAAGTGTACGAATGGATAATGATTGTAATGTTTTAATCTAACATTTGTAACTAGGTGACTCGTGCTTCACGCACCAATAAATATAAAAATACTCGATTATCTTGTATTATGTCGATATCCGACTCACTTACCAGAGGCGCGGGAACTACTTTCAGATGGCGGGGGGGGGGGTACACCATAAAGAGATCAACCAAGGGTACCCCCAAATCTAGTTTTCTCACCGGTTTTAGGCCACTTATATTTCATCTCTTGGCTTTTCCACATAAAAAGAAAACATTGCAAAAAAGTGTGGTATTCCGTCTCAAAGTTGTGGGGGCACCGCCCCCACGGTCCCAGAGTTGGAGGGGGCAAGCTGCCCCTTCTGCCCCGCTCCCACGCCTATGATACCTACTGAGATGCCGAAAAATGTCGTGCCATTACCGAAGAGCGCTGATAGGTATAACTCATCTGACATTGCATGATGTTGCATACAACTCATCTGACATTGCAGAATGCAGGTGTTGTTCGCTGCTGCCTAAAGTAGGATCCTCGGTAGTAACACTGACAGCATTTGCCATAGACCGGAGTGTCAGTGTCGCCCGCGCATGGGTAGCAAATTATTGAATATTGATAAGCTTTATATACGTCATTGAAGCCTATGGACCAGAACTTCAATCGACCAGATTCCTGTCTTCACGGAAAGATAAATCTCCCGAAGGACTTACCTGAACGGAGCCCGGCGGCAGTCCTCTCTTCCAGTGCATCCCGGCAGTCTGGAGCCCCCACACCACAGTGGTTCGTTGTCTCGAGCCACGCCGTCTCACCGAGCCTGCGACCTGTCCTCCAGAGCACTGCACTGACCCTGGGTCAGCCCCGACACATCAGAGCCCACCACTGCACTGTCGCTCGTCTCCCAATCGACTCTGGTCTGCCACAATAGCGACCCGCACACGATCGATCCTCCACGGCGACTCTCGACTCAGCAGTCAGCCCCCGGCCCCGCCCGCCGCCCCAGTCGTCTTGTCACGTCTGCTCGACCGAAGAGCATGCCCAGCGGCGATTCTGCTTCGCACCGACTGGCCGGGGGAGGGGAGGGGGAGGGCGATGGCACGATATCATGAGACGCGAGGTGTCGAATTACCGCAGCGGAGAGGGTGGCAGAGGGCGCATACGGGTGAGGGAGGGGCTGGATAGGAGAGGAATATAGCGAGATACCGAAAGAGTAGCCTGCTATCACTCTCTCTTTCGGAAAGAGAGAGAGTGATAGCAGGCTACTCAAGTGCTTAGTCGCCGATAGCGATCATATGCGATTCACGGGGAATGGCGACTGGTGGAGGATGGGTGGTGGGTAATGTCAAAAAGATCTGAAAGGGATGAGGTCAGCGGCCCAGCCCGCCCAAAACTGCTCGTTAGAAAAACCGCCGTCTGGTGGATAATTTAGCTCCAAAGTCCATCGGCTACAATATACATCAGCTTTTCGGCACCACCTCATTTGCAGGTCAGGTCAGTTCAGGTCACTGACCTATGGCGTTCATTGTCATGCGTGAATATTTTGCACGATGTCGCGATCTTGCAGCGCTCTGTCTTACAGCTAGGGAAGCTTTTACACAGGAGGATGAAAGTTATTACGTAGAAAGTAGCCGGCCTCCGGTGCCCTACAACTTATCTGTCTCGGATTTTAAACAAGTATAAAGGGTAGGGTCATCATGAGTTAGGTCCAACACGTGACCTCCCCATGAGATAGCCGAAATGATATGCGCATTGCACAAAAGCAGCACAACATTGAATGTGATGGTTCAGTTCATATGCCATTTGCATAATGTGATTGTTTTCCGGACGGTGTTAGAACTTTGACTCAGACCTTTTACCAGATCATCCATGATGTCACAATAAACAGAACAAAACAACCGAACTGGACAGTTTCAGCAGAGTGAAGGCGCCTGGTCCAGCGCGGCGGGCGTGCTCGCACCCGGCTCACTTCTCCCGAGCCTCTGCCGCCGGGATCCTGCGGCTGTTGGTGGCGCTGTGACGTCACTATCAGAACATCTCCCGTGCTGACCTCAGAGACGAACAGGCAGTCAGAGAGAAGGGGAGCCGGCGCGGGAGCTACTCGCCGGGCCTCGACTCAGTAATCGCCAGAACGTTGTTATCAACATGATGCTCTCTGCCGTCCTTACGCTCACGAATGGGAATCGACGGCACGGGAGTAAGGGAGTGAAAGGATGAGGGACTAAGTGGTCAGTGGCGTCACACCTTAACTGAGGACCACTGCTCTTGATTGTTTCTACGAACCGGCGCAAAACTAGTGAACCGATTACGATAGTGCTACAGCGTTAAAAAACGCCTTAAATAGCTCTTCCAAGAATTTTTCACTGGCCCGGGCTTAGATTTCTCCTGAGGTCAATGGTCTAGCGTACAGAAACAAAAATGAATTAAAATATACGGACTTTGCGGAAAAGTTTTTCAATAAATGCAATCAATGACTTTCATTTTAACCATTGTGTTCCTCTCTTCAAGCTGCGTTTTGTGAACTACAATTCGACAATTTGGTCAGTTTGTAGATTCTACATTAGGACAAAGTCGTACTTGTCCCCAAACAAAGTTGATGAGGCAAGGCATGCGTATATTTAAATATATCTTTATTGCTAGGATGAACAAGTTTATGCGTCTATATCGATCTAGCATGTCCATCAAAAGTTAGGTCTGAAAAAACTGCTGGTGACCTCATGATGACCTAACATGACCATCCGAGTGACCGCTGATCAACAGTTGCAACCTAAGTGTTGCAAATTGTAGGTATATCGAAATGCAATGATTCTGAATTTCTGAAAACATCTTACGGTTTTAGCGTTTTTGTTCAACCCGCGATTATCTCGCAAGCTAAGAAAGGCAGAAACACTTACGCGAAAAAAAAACAATAATTATATCGTGCCTCATTATAAGCTTTTCCAGAACTACGAAGAACATTTTTCGACGAGGTCATCGCCGATGTCACCGGAGGTCACCGAGTTCAGTGAGGTCACCAAAAGTAAAATTGCCACGAAAGACGTTTGCCGATTTTGCAAATTTTTCACAAACGGCATATAGGTAGCTATAGTCTGGCAAACCTAAGAAAGAACGGAGTTAAAGCGCCTGAATCACTTTGCACGTGTTTTGATCACCTTGAATGCATGGTTCAAAGAAATTTGTGTGAAAAGTTGTGACAGAAAATATGCCATCGTCTGTGACATAGCGAGGGGTCCCCCGACCGTCTTAACCCGGCAGGCGGTGGGCCTCCCAGCCACCTTCCGCGCGGGGGGCATTTTTTTGCCCCCCCCCCTCGTATCTCCGAAACTACTGGACGGATCCGGAAAATTCAAATGGCGTTCGATAGCCCTGCCAAATTTGTCCAAAGAAACCAAATTTCATTGACCTCGGGGTCACCGATGACGTCACAGGTCAGGTCAAAGATAAAATGTTTCACCGTTCACGGGGCTTCTAGGGAAAGCGCTATAACACCGAGTAAAACGCATTTTGTCGAAAATCAGCGATAAGGCGTCAGTTGTCTAGTACATATGTTGCTATTAGAGGTCACTGGTCATACCAGGTCAGGTCACAGGTCAGGTCACCAAAGGTCACCAAGGGTCACCACATGAACCTAACTTTACTAAGGTTGTGCGATGCATGTTTTATGGCCAGTTTTTCATTTCCAGCTCAATGGTATTGGTTACAAGACCATCAGGTACGGTTTAGGTCACTTTCTGGTGGAGGTCAGGTCAAGGTCAGTTCAAAAACGTCAAATTTCAAAGTTGATATTTTTGCATAAAATGGGTATCGATTCGATGCAGCTCGTCACGGGGAGTCTAATGGTGGTCTTTGTTTTCCGCTACGAGGTCTAGAATTGCTAAAAATTGAGTTTGAAAATTTGACGTCATCAATTTTGAACAGTTTTTTCGCTATAACTTGGCCAAAAAAAGAGGTACCAATTGATCTCAAATTTGGTATGTAGATAGAAGGCGGTAGGGACTATCACACATATTCCGGTTTTTTCGAAATTCAAAAAACTTTTTGGATTTTTCGGCTATTATTTTCAAAAAAATCTATTTTTTGATTTTTGGGGGTCAAAATAAAAAAATTCGAAAAACCGAAATAGCAGTTTTGTAGCCCTCTTCATTCCACACCTTTTATGTCTGGAACATTTTTTCTGTATCTCTTAAGCTGTAGGCCTGACAGCTCTTCCCGCGAAACCTTTTTTTTTTTGGGTCGAAAATGGCAAAAATGACGTCACTCTGACGTCATTAGCGGCCAACCTATCACAGCCTTTGGAAAATTTTTGGTCACCATGTGCGCTAGCTACTCCCGGGAGGGTACTGAAAGTTTGGTGACGATCGGCGCAGCGGTTCTCGAGATATATCGAAAAAACTAAAGGGGGGGCAAAAAAATGCCCCCCCCCCCACCGCCTGGAAGGTTTACCCTCGCCCGTATAGGGGGGGGTCGAACGGACCCCCCCCCCCTCGGTTTTTCGCGAATAACTCGCGTAAAAAGCGGCCGATCGCGACGAAACTTTCAGTACCCTCGCGTAAATCAATTTTACACCTACCCTGAAATTTTCATGACCCTGATCTTAATGACCTTTGACCTGTGGCCTACTTTTCGAGACCATGTTTGGCCGGAATCGCGATTCGGCGTATGTCGGCTCGCATTAGCCGCGCGTTTGCAGTTTTTTCGTGGTTTTAAGCGTTCAAACATGGGATATGATGTTGCTCCCTTGGCCCTTGCATTAGGGTTGGTGTCAAGGTCACCGGAAGGTCAGGTCAGGTCATTGACCTTTGATGACCTCGGTTCACTTTTTCGAGTTTTACATGTTTCTAGGCCAGTTTTTGGAGCTGAATTCGAATTTAGCAACCATATGAACATTTACGAAGTAGTTTTGGTGCCTTCGTAACATGTTGCGAAGCTGTAAGAGGCGGTTGCCACCTACTACGAATACCCTTACTGGTTGACCTGACCTGACCTGACCCGACCTGGCCTAAATGCATGAAGACATCATCTGTGATCAAAACTAGCATGATATTCGTGATCAGCAACCCGAAAAACCCCATAGCAGTCACGCTTTACGACTTTCTAACAGGTCCCGATTTTCCCGATTTTTGGGTCATTGACCTGACCTGGAAGGTCAACCGATGACCTGGGACCTTAAAATTGGGTATCATCGGCTTCCTCTCGTGACGGGCAACACGCTCGCTTTTTCCGCGAAGCTCTAGCTCGATCAGGGGCGAAACGGCAAGGGGGGGGTCCAACGGACCCCCCCCCCCCCTTATACGTTCGCGGCTGGAAAAACACCAATACGGGCGAGGGTTAAGCTGCCCCACCCTCTACCTGACTTCACCCCACGGGTGGGGTATTTTTGGACATTTGACATCATAAGACATTTTCATGTCACCTATCTTTGCATTTCAAGCCAACTCCTTTATTTTGCGGTGATTATGAAGGCCACACATGGGTCCAACAGGGGCACTATTTGCAGTTCACCGGACCTGAATAGTTTCTGAGCAAATGACGTCTAAGGAAAAGCGTCCGAACCATGCCCACCTTCCCCTACAGCCGTTGACCGTCACTGATTTTCATCAGGTTGGCTTAGCCATTAAAAACGAATTGGCTGATACTTCGTTGTAAACAAATGACGATGGAAGCATCGTTGCACATGAAATATGGAATGGATGAGGACCTATGTACAGACAGTTATACTAACACAATGCAGTTTTATTTAAAAGAATAGCATGTGCGGTCTGCCTTAGCTCTGGGCACCCCCAACCGTCCATTTTCATAAATCGACACCCCTGGCCCTCACAATATAAATGCACATACATGAACAGCCGCAGCACTTTAAATCCATTCTTTCTTAGGTTTGCCAGACTATAGCTTGTGACCCTGGTCCCTGAACCAAAAGAGCCAGATTCGCGGAAAACACATTCGATGCTCAGGAAGTCTTTCC